GCAGGAGGATCTCTGTTTAGCTACCGAACTAGAAGTCACTTTCAATTATTGCGAGCTCTCAAGAGCAAATCTTTAATGAGAGTGGTTGGAAGAAAAATCTAATTCGAGTTAGAACACGCGAATCATTGTTTACGTGCCTCCGCGAAAACATACTGCAGCAGGCTTTGTCATATACGGTGGTTAAACCTCCCTTCTTGAAATTTTAACTTTCTAAATGAACTAGAAAATTGTTTAGGAAAATAATTAACTGACCAATGGCTAGATCTATATGAAATAATTTTTTAGTATCTGGTAACACCCCGAATGAAAAAGTCTGCCCTTTTCCCTTGAATTTTTTTAAATTTCTGTTCTTCTGCTGAATATACAATAGATATTCTAACGTGATATTAACACAAATAATAGATTGATAAATAAAGAAAATCACAATCCACAATCCACGTCGCTTACAATGTTTTTCGTGTTCTTATCTGAAGTAATTTTTACCCATAGCTTTTTATCAAAACTTTTTAGTTCGTGGCCACGATCGATCCAAGACTACTCTTATATTTCCCTATTAGAAACTATTTTAAATTAATAAATTCGGACCCATTCCCTTGGACAATTTTACTGAATAAAAAACAACGGAATTTCCGTTTAAATTACTTAAAATACGACTCTGTTAATCGGTCCTTAAATAAATACATTGCACATAATTGTCCCTTTTAATAATCACACAAAATTTTAATTAGTATTTTAAATCAAGGAATTTTTTTCCTTATGCGTATGCGTATGAACTCATCCAAAAAAAACAGTTTATTCGTGCAGTAAGAAATTCAAAATTGCACAATAGTTTCTTAAAGCAATGTCTACTGATGCCGGTGATTTCCGTCGCCTACAGAATCAGTTTCCTCTGTGAAATGGATACTTCTGAGGTTACCCTTAGCTCGAATGAAATGTGGATCTCATTTAGATAGCCGTCGGATGTCTCACGCGAAAATACAATGGAATTTTTTTGGATAATGAATCGCTGGGATTAGTGGTGTCTTTACGCACGGGCACGATGGGCTCGTGCCCAGGGGTCCAGCGGGTTAAGCGGCCCCCGAGACGAGACGTGCCTTAGATATATATTACAAATTGCAAATGTAACTAAAAGAAATTAGTAATAGTAGGTTTTCTTTGTTCATATTTGTGAATTCAAACTGTAGTTAACTTTCAAAAATAACAAACAAGAAACGCTTTTTGTCCTGGGTGTGAAGGGAAATTGAGTGGAGCTTTCATTGCGTGAAGTAGAGGTCGCGCATTTTCTGAACGTATGTACGCGAAAAGCTCGTGTCGTCTAGAGCAAAAATAGTTAAAAAGATACTACAAGTTCGAACTAAAGAGTGGGTGCTTAACCATAAACGTGCTAATATTACATAAATTCTCCAAGCCTATTGGAGTATGTATTATCAGATTTAGTATTTTTCCAAATTTTTATTACAAAAATGCTTTCCTATTATTAAACCATTTATTCATTTGAGCTAGCTGGAAGTAAAAGTACAAAAGGTAAGTCCCAAAAGTACTACAACAAAGAAAAAAACACGAAATGGATTAAAATTTACAAGAAGACTTTGTACATCGAACCACCCTTAGTTACACAGAAAATAAAATTCATGTATTGGATTCGGTTAGGAGACTTGAATCTTCTAATCGGATCAAAGGAGTAAATTCCAAAATTTGAATTATTATGTCAAAAAGGAACTAATATTTTGATTTCAAGTTCAAGTATTATTTAATGGGATTATTGATTAAATAGATACTGTGGGTACGAGTAGTTTTCGTAAAATTTGGGATAAAAAGGGTGCTCCGCCACCATATTTTAATTCAGTATAATTACCTATTTCCCATCAGAGTGTCTGAAGGCGGAAGCAGTGAAATTTGTAAATTTTCCGGTAAAAGCAATAATTTTACTATGTAAAGGGTAAAATTGTAAAATATCTAATTGCAATTCTTATCTCTGTAGGGTTTTAGACGAGGGCTTAGTGATTGTTCATCCATAAATGGAAGGTATTTCATTCCCGATTTGTTACCTTGACTAAAGAAGTTTAACGAAATTTGCATTAATTGCATCCAAATTTGAGAATCTGCAAAATTGGGTAGTACCTATTTCTCAATTTCGCATCTATGTTTAATTTCTGTCTCAAATGGATAATACCACTCACTTTTTATTCAATGATATACGTGGGTTGTCCAGAAAGTAGCAGGCGTTTTGAAATAAAAAATTGTAAACTTGTAAAGAAAATCTCTTATTATAATACATTTAGGAGCTACACTCTCGGGCTATTTATCAACACAAGCGCCATTCAAATTGAGGCACTTATCATAGCGTGGCACAAGTGTTTTGATTCCAACTTTGTATAAATCTGCCGCCTGAGATTTTAACCTGAAGACCTCGTTCGCAACACAGTACATGGACAGTGATGCCGAACTTCAACCCGGCGTTAACCAGTGGTTAAAGTCTCAGGCGGCGGATATATACAAAGTTGAAATCAAAACACTTGTGCCATGCCATGATAAGTGCCTCAATATGTTGAAAGATAGCCTAAGAGTGTAGCTTCCAAATGTATATAATAAAAGTTGTTTCTTACACTTTCTAAATTTTTTATTTCAAAACGTGTGTTACTTTCTGGATAGCTCTCGACTTGTTAATCACCCATTAGTTCAAAAAATGAAATCCCGCAACGCACGGCCCAAAACAAACGTAAACCTATTACGAAAACAAAAAGTGTTGATCTTTTTGAACCATTCCATCAATAATCACCTGGGCTTGAGGTTAAGATTTAAAATAGTAGGCAACCCACTCACTACAACTGCGTTATCAGATGAACGCAATCTCGAGGCTATAGACCTTTGGTGTTTGCACCTTTTTTACTATGTGTCATCACACATTCAACAAAAGCATAAATAAAACACTTATGCAACGAAAGGGAATACAGTTTTTAAATAAGGGCAGGCGATACGAGAAATAGGGCTTACTGTATGATGCATACTCACGTCGTCTGCTCACATATTTATCCCGCAAAATAAAGAATAAAAAGGCGACAATCCCACATAAAACGATCAAGAGAGCAATAATGAAATAGTTCCTCATTTTGCGCACTTATATAAGATCTCAATTAAATTAGTATATTGAATCTATGATAAATAGGTAGATAAATTTCGAGCATTTACCCCTCCAAAATGATAATGTCTAACGTGAATAACTTCTGAAATAACAGGAACTGAAGCATCAACAAGCCACAGCAAACCTTTAAGAAAACGTACGCGTTTTGACAGAAATGCAATGAAAAAGAAGCCTTCTTTTGGGTTTGTTCGTTTAGCTGACTATCGAAGTCCTGCTGTCGCAACTTTGTTTTATTGTGTCATTTTGTTATTTTTGTTACTGCAACATCCACACAAGGTCCAATGTTCCCAATAAAATCTGAGGCATAGGTACCTACCCCAAAAACTACATGAACACCTTTGACAGCAAACAACAATCATTTCCTGATAGTTTCGTTTTCGAAACATGTTTGTTTTATATTTTTGTCGCTTTCTACGAGCGGTGTCTTTGTCTATTTATAAGCTGAGAAAATGTAAACCTAAACTACTCCACTAATCCAACTCACACACAACTATTCCCATTCGAAGCAGGGACCCACTTAATTATCGCCAAGCATTCTAGGTAAGTCAATTTTTATAGCGCAATCCGTATGGACCTGATACAGTTTTATTATGCACCTAAGATGTGGCAGTTTTTCAACTAAGAAAAAAACAGGGTGTTAGGATACTGTTCCTACACAAACTTTAGAAACTTAAACAGCCATATGGTTGCCAAATGACATGTTTTTTTTCAGTTGATGCGTATTAAATTTTTCAAAACACGGTTAAGATTTGTATGCATGATGTTATGCAAATTTTTGGAGCAATCCATTAATCTAATTAATCCAACGTTGTATCTTATACCGCATTTAGGGACCACCCTCTACATAAAAATATTATTAGACAAGTAAACAATTTTTTTATTTTAACTTTTTACCACCCGCCCGTTAGTATGGGAGGTATTCCATTGGGGTAAAAATGCCCCCCCCCCCACTTTTTTGACAGATGAACCGATTGGAACCAAATTTGGTACGCATGTTCTTAGCCACAAAGTGCAGAATCGTGCATGCATAAGTGTGCTGTGCTAGGCAAAGAATTTTTTTGTAGTATTATCATTTTCCCGGGGAAAACCTCTTAAAGGTTACTGTCTCACTGCCAGACATCCCTTCAATACAATAACTTTAGAATATGAAGTAGTTGCGGCACACGAAAAAACCTGGAAGACAGATTATATTTCTCACAAATAACGAAGAACCGAAGATGTGGTTACGTTATCCATTGGTCTATTCCAGAGGCGAGCTTTCGCGAAGGAGTTTACTGGGGCGCATTGAATTTTCGTGGGCGGCGAGTATATTCCTGTGAGAACTTTTCCACTGGTAAATGTTTTAGGGCTAAATTTACCCACTTTAAATTTACATGGCAGGTTTTCTCGGAGAATTTACCACACGCGACGATTAAATATAAAAAATACATTTTAAAAGGATGTGATACCCACTTCTACGTGACTGCAAAAAATTAAAGTTTAATAATATCTGGTTTTAGAATAACAGAAAAATGATAGGTACTCGAAAAAGATTAAATCAGGTGTAGGACATCATTCATTAGGAAAAACCTAGGAAAATCCATCTGAATAATTTTCATTAAATGTTCCAGAGAGAACACTTCGCTTACTCACGATAACTTTGGAGTTATATGACCGCTACCCTACCAAGGCCGCCTTTTTTCAGTTTTCAGACTAGTCACAGCTAAACAGCACAGATACTATAATAAGACGAGATCAAAGATAACTTGGCCTTACTCTTCAAATGTATGGTCTGCACTGGTTTAAAGTTAACTCCGTTAATAATTAGTGTACGCCATAAAAACATACATACAATCCTTGGGCTTTCTAGGTACTTCTATACATATCATCAACGTTTTAGGTAAGCAGATAATACTCACATTCCAAACTTCCTCCATACAACAGATCCAAAAAAGGCATCCCTTGCTTCCTAACAAACTTTCTGATAATCCAAATTAGAGCAACTATCAGGCACAGTATAATTAACAAGCATATTTCGTAATCCTCGATCATTTTGAGCACTCCGTTTAAACGATAACGCGCTTTTTACTCCACTAAGATACGTTGCCACAGAGTAAATTGAATTTTTAGCTCGAAAAATCATAATATAGATAAGATAGTGTAGTATAAATACAAGATGAAGTGATGGGATTAGAAGAGAATGAAAAGGAGCACTACACGTGGACTTCGGATCCGTTGTCTGCAAATACCTATCTCCGAGTACGAGTAAGAATTTACGACTTAGTGATTACGTTACTTTAGTACTGTAACCTTCAACAAAATGTGTACCATTCCATCGACGCAACCAGAAAGCCATTTTGTTCAATTCAGGGGAATTTTTCTTCTTGAAAGACTCACGTCTTACTTTTGATATAGGTGCACTGCCTCTTCCATTTTTCTTAATATATAAGCATTACTTACCCGCCCGACACCAAGAAAAACTTTTCCCTGCAGTGGCACAGTTTTGATACTTTCTGGTACATTCACTACCGTCAATATACAATGTTGATGAAAGTAAAATGCCTCAGTTGATAAAATCCAGTATGTGATCCGAAAAATTAGTCCTTGTTTGTGATTGGCACATTACACAGAAAATCAATTTTTATATTCATACGCCTCATTTGTATCGACCAAACAATAACAGCTTTACAACCATTCCACAAACTTTGCCAAAGCACACGTTAGAAAATGGCTCGTGCCACAACCATTAAGGAAGCAATGAAGAAATGGGAAGAAAAACATCCCAACGAGGAAATTAGTAAGGCTACCGAAGTCGGTCTTCAATTCCAATGGCCGCCCATAGAAAAAATGGATAATTCTTTGGCGTCGTTAACCAGCGTCAGGTATTTTGCAATTGAAGTTTCGTAAAGCTCGCCCATTTTTTTTAGAAGGCTTAGCCTATCGACGAACGTGATTGAGAAAATAAGTGGCTTGAATTCTCTTAAAAATCTAAGGATTTTATCCTTGGGTCGAAATTATATTAAAAGTTTCGCAGGATTGGTAAATATGTTTGCGTTAAATCACAACCTTATACTGACGGTGACGCTTAGGAGGCGCTTGGTGAAACTCTGGAGGAGTTATGGATTTCTTATAATTTGATAGAGAAAGTGAAAGGTGTGGGAGCGTTAAAGAAGCTGAAAGTTTTGTATATGTCTAATAACCTTGTCAAAGAGTGGGGACAGTTTAATCTATTACAAGAGATACCGTCGCTGGAGAACTTACTTTTCATAGGTTTGTATAAATATCTGTCACATTATGTTGTGTAATTGCATATTGCACTTGGAGTAGAATTGTACAATGCATCTCTCCTAGCATCTCTCCCAACTATTTTTCAATACAGTGTATTTGCCGACAGTCTCTTGTACTGCTATATTAGTGAAGTGGGAACGTTATACACTGCCTTTTTTTGAGCCCCGAAAAAAAATTGTCTCAGATCGACCGGGAAAAAAAATTTTCTTATAGAATGTGCCCTGTAGATCCCATTTCTAGTCTATAACTTTTGATTGAGAAGTCTAATCGAAAAAGTACGAATTGTTTTGGATTCTATACCCCAAAATTAATAAGAAAAAGTGTTTTCCCGAGAAATTTTGGTGTAGTCGATTTTTGGTAAAAAAGGAAGGTTATACAATGCCTTTTTTTGATCCCCGAAAAAAAAATTATCTCAGATCGACCGGGAAAAAAATTTTTCTTATAGAATGTGCCCTGTAGAATCCATAATTTCAAACCGTTCGAAGATTGGGCGATTAGTTCAAAAGTTACAGCCCTTTGAATTTTCTTTCGAAATTGGTTTCTAGTCTATAACTTTTGATTGGGGAGTCTAATCGAAAAAGTACGAATTGTTTTGGATTCTATACCTCAAAATAAATAAGAAAAAGTGTTTTCCCGAGAAATTTTGGTGTAGTCGATTTTTGGTTAAAAAAAGAAGGTTATACACTGCCTTTTTTTGAGCCCCGAAAAAAAAATTGTCTCAGATCGACCGGGAAAAAAATTTTTCTTATAGAATGTGCCCTGTAGAATCCATAATTTCAAACAGTTCGAAGATTGGGCCATTAGTTCAAAAGTTACAGCCCTTTGAATTTTCTTTCGAAATTAGTTTCAAGTCCATAACTTTTGATTGAGAAGTCTGATCGAAAAAGTGCGAATTGTTTTGGATTCTATGCCGCAGAATTAATAAGAAAAAGTGTTTTCCCGAGAAATTTTGGTGTAGTCGATTTTTGGTAAAAAAAGGATGGTTATACACTGCCTTTTTTTGAGCCTCGAAAAAAAAATTGGAGTAGAATTGTACAATCCATCTCTCCTGGCATCTCTCCCAACTATTTTTCAATACAAATATTCCATTTAAATTGTGTATTTGCCGACAGTCTCTTGTACTGCTATATTAGTGAAGTGGAATCGTTATCAGAACAGTTAAAGTGAGCGAGTTTGTTCTTTTAGTAAACCTAAGCACCTTGGAAGAGATATAAATGATATAGTTAAACCTGCCTAATCGCATGTGGTTACCATTTAGTCATTTTAATTTTGACCTGCACGGCTAGTTCTGGTAACATACATTTTTACGGTGATGTACTTTCTGCTTTCCTAATTTTTAAACATTGATAAGAAAACTTCAAGAGCCCGTAGCTAGAAAACAATGCATTTTTTTGTAAAAAATGGGTTTTCGGCTCTATGGGCTTTCGATATTTGATGAGAAACTTTTTTTCTACGACTCCCTACCAATTATTTTTTCTATATTTGCTGTTTTTTTAGTTTTCTAATGCAAGGACAATAAATAAATAAAAATAAATAAACATACGAGTATATTTGTAACAAAATCAAATACCTAGTGAAATGGTTCTAATTTGAATTTGCCTTTACAGGATTTCATATTTCTAGTTTTTGCTATATAGTCCAGTCATTCTATGCCAAAGTGGAAAAAATGTATAACAAAGTTGTAGAAAATTTTATGAGCTTTCGATTTTTTCCTACGATATCTCATTTTCGGCTATATTCCGCAAAATCGCAAAACTGTACCTTCAATCCCCTCCCCACCCTCCGGCGACACCGAAATTTCTCGGGACCATTTTTTTCGTAAAGAGCAAAATAATCTGATTGGCGGAATATTTCACGTACCTAGAACCGCTATGTACTATACAGGGTGTCTTAAGTTGAGGAGGATAACATGGCTATCTTTGTTATTATTATACACAAAGTTGTGTAGTTTTTTATGCTAATGGATATTCCGTTGCGATATTTGGAAAAAAATAATTCGTTTCGTAGATAATTGGAATAAAGTGAAAATCGCCATTTTTAGAAAGTTCAAATATTTTGGTAACAAAGAGAGCTATAGAAAAAAGTTTCAAATAAAAGTTGCAAGATTCGATGGGATAAATTTAATAGTCGTAGAAAAAAAAGTTCAAAATTGCGGTTTTCGACATATTGACATCAACTTCCTTATTTTAAATGGACGCCATGTTGGATTTGTACCATACCCAAATTGGGGCTGTACGTTTTTCTGCTCTCATTACAAAGGCTGTTATTTAAGAAAAACGATTGTTCTATTTCTATACATGGATGTAACTAAACTACTAAGAGCGATATTCCAACTTTTTAAAGTATAATAGTTATAGACATTCTTTTCGTCAATGGAAAGAATACCCACTATCGAGAATTTGGTAGACAATAACTACAAAGGCAGTATTTCGTAAGAACCTTTGACTGTTTATTCTAATATCGGAAAGGAGCCTTAAAATCGCTCGTTCTGATTAGCCCTCTATTAGTATAAACAGCAATTAGTTTCAGCGAACTGTACTGTTTAAGCATGGCAAATTACTATTGTATAAGCAATTAATTTAATACTAAAAGATATATTCTTCTGGATGTTGGTGGGACTGTGTCTTTAATAAAAGGAAAAATAAAAAATGTCACTATTTTTCACTATATTTCATTATTAGCCATCGCAACACAAATGCCACCACCCTAAGATCGATGATAATAGCATCCACTTAAAAATGATAATTTACAGGTAATCCATTGTTCGACAGCCTCGATGAGACAGTATGGAGAACTGAAGCCAGCAAACGATTACCCAATTTAAAAAAACTCGACGGAGAAACTGTATTGCGCGAGGAAGCCGAAGAAGAAGATTAAGTGATACCATTCCGGTAACATTTTAAGTTTCAATAAACCAGATGATGTTCTCTTACTACGATAAGTGAAGTTTTCGAATTACTTACCATCTAGTGATCTTCCACTCGCGGAGAAAAGACCCGAACAGCACAAATGGATCAAGAACAACAAACCACAAAGCGCAAAGAACGCAATTTCGTAAATAATCTCCATTTCATGGTCGATTATCATTTTTGATTAACAGAAGTCGAAAAATTAACTGCTTCGTTTACTTTTCTTTAACTATCACTGCTATTCCTCCCTCCCCATCTTTAGATAAACAAAACCGCCGCTCATTATCTAAATTAGTTGATAATGGCAAGGTTATAAATTAAACACGTTGGCTTACTTTACGCAAATGTAATGTGTCAGCAGATAAACTAAAAGAATAATTATTTACTTTAACCGGTAGGATGGTATGGCGGTGGTTTTTCGTGTCGACCTAAACAGTTTAGGTAATTAATATTTCTAGTAAACGCCTTGTTACTTACTGCATTGCATGGGCTCCCTTGGCACTACTAAAATACCTTCAGGTGTCGTGGTAACGTTGACAACACCAAGCTGATCTAGATTTGTAACGTTCCAGCCAAACGATTCTTGGGGATAGACGTGTTGACTTTGGTACGCCGGATTGTATTGCGGTGTCAGTACGTAAGCACTTTGAATGGTTGCTATCCGTGAAACTAATTGCGACTCTTTTTTAGCTGGAAAGTCCAAATGGAAAGATAATAGCTAGCTAGAATTCTTACCTTTCCTGCGTTTCACACAGGTCGCAATGCTCCAAACAATTAGAGGTACTAGTGCCACTAGCAAAAATATCACCCAATCTATCCAATTCATCACGAATGAAAATTAGTTATATTCAAAGGCGTTAAATTGTTACTACTATCATCGTGTTGAACGGCTGATAATGAAGTAAAAACGAATTGATTACTCCCATCTCATCGATAAGGCATTTAGGCATATCTTGCTCAAGTGCTATCATCAAGGAAATGTACCTAGCAACACAGATTTTCCTCTTCTTCCCAATTATTATTTAGCTATGCTATTCGCAGTATGAGTAGAGATGCGTGGATTCTGGATAAATGGGTATCTCAATACTAGTCTGTCATGTATATCTTTTATGAATGCATTATCGTGCATTTCGAAAAGATAATATTTCGATAATACCCTCAACATTATATATTGTGACTTCCGTCAACAAATGTTTTGTAGCAAATTTGCACATTTTCTGTCCCCCCGTCGAATCGATGAAGTACCCGGCACTTCTGAGAAGAATACCGTAGTAAGCCCCAATTTAAGTCGGCGTCATCCTCGCTTGTTACTTGTGATATGCAGCGGAGGAAAGAAGGCTTGTCGCTCTGCTTAGCGGTCTGTATGTAAACAAGGTTTTTCTTCAGCTGCCCTCGTTCTTCGGACGAATGATGAAAAACCGCACCACTCCCTTTCACTGCTGCTGACTCGCCGAATGGGAAATTTTGGAAACGCATACCTCTAACCCTTACGTGTTAAAAAACGTTTTAAAAACGACATAAAACGAACGTTTTATTAATTTGAAACGTCATACCTCAATTACCTACTGTTACTTTAGAAGGTCAAGACTCAAGAGGGTTCCGGTATTTTCAACAAGCAATTTATTATACAAAAACAATACTTTATTATTCAGTGAAGAGTAATAAAGGAACATGTGCTATCCTTTTACCAACAAAGTGTAGAAGACGTAAATGTAACGGTAGCTCTTAGCGTAGTTAGAATTTTGGAGATTATTTATGGGTGCGCATTATTGTAGGTTTTTTAACAGGGTAGTCGAAGTAAAGGCTTGGCAATTTCAAAATCTGAGTAAATTTTGATCTGTGTTTCAATTTAAAGGTTAGCAATGTTCGTGTTGTTCATATGGCTTTCGGAAATGGTCGACTCCAGAAAGTCGTAGATAATAATTAATAATAATCTAATCTCAATAGGATTTTGGTTGCAAAGATAGCCGACACAAAAACTACGCAGTTAAGAGATCATTGACTACATTGAAAGATTGCAATTCAGACAAAAATTGAATGCGTAGGAATCCAAGGAAGCCTATTTTTCATGCACTTCAGGAGGTACTTGCCGTGATTCCTATTTGCTGTTAATAAAAATGGTTTACCAAATCACTAGAATTAATTAATACAAAAAATAAGTATGATTTAGTCTGGAGTAGTTGTGGAGGCATTCGTTAGCGAAGCATCAACTTTGTAGGTTGCAATTTGTGTTGACTAGCCATTTATATACAAGCAATTCCAGATACTAAAAACTCTTTCAAGCGATCAGTTTCATTATGAAGGAGACTTTTTGTGCTGAAATACAATCTGCATGCAAAGAATTGTGGCACAAAGCTAATGCTTTACTACTCCTCAATCAATTATTGAAGCATTTAGTACCTATTTTAGTAGTGTGTATTCTCCTAATGATCCTAACACAATCGTCGATAGATTACTAGGATGTACTAATATGCCTATCATTAGTATTAACCATATTTCTGAAAGTGAAATCTCTCAAGCAATATCCAAATTAAAATCTAAAAATATCGTGGGTAATGATCAGATTTCATGCTTCTTAGTAAAAGATTACAACACTATTTTTGCTAAATTTGCAAATATTACTCCAGTGTTAAAAAGTGGAGACCCCACTAACGTTGCAAATTATCGACCCAGTGAGTATATTAAGCAATTTCAGCAAAATATTTGAAATTACTATATACAATAAAATCTATTATCAGGCTAGGAATCTTATATAAGAACATCAGCATGGGTTTATTAATAAGCGATCCATGTTAACGAACCTTGCATGCTTTAAGCAATTTGTATCGCTAGCGTTAGACTCCAGGGGCCAGGTTGCTGTCATTTACACTGACGTATCTATAAGGCCTTCGATCGAATACCACATAATCTTTTGATAACCAAACTACGATGCTATGGGTTTCATGACGCTATATTTCAATCATACATTTCAGATCGTACCCAGCGTGTGATGTTTTGTCAATCTTTGCCAATAAATGCTACCTCTGGAGTACCTCAAGGGTCCAATTTAGGACCTCCCTTATTTAGTCTATTTATTAACGATATGACTGTCACACTGCCTTTTTTTGAGCCCTGAAAAAAAATTTTCTCAGATCGACCCGGAAAAAACTTTTGATTGAAAAGTCTGATCGAAAAAGTACGAATTGATTTGGATTCTACGCGCCCAAATTAATAAGAAAAAGTGTTTTCCCGAGAAATGTTGGTGTAGTCGATTTTTGGTAAAAAAGGAAGGTTATACACTGCCTTCTTTTGAGCCCCGAAAAAAAAATTGTCTCACATCGACCCGGAAAAAAATTTTCTTATAGAATGTGGCCTGTAGAATCCATAATTTCAAACAGTTCCAAGATTGGGCTACTAGTTCAAATGTTCCAGCCCTTTGAATTTTTTTTCGAAATTGGTTTCTAGTCTATAACTTTTGATTGAGAAGTCTGATCGAAAAAGTACGAATTGATTTCGATTCTACGCACCCAAATTAATAAGAAAAAGTGTTTTCCCGAGAAATTTTGGTGTAGTCGATTTTTGGTAAAAAAGGAAGGTTATACACTGCCTTTTTTTGAGCCCCAAAAAAAAATTGTCTCAGATCGACCCGGAAAAAAAATTTTCTTATAGAATGTGGCCTGTAGAATCCATAATTTCAAACAGTTCCAAGATTGGGCTACTAGTTCAAACGTTACAGCCCTTTGAATTTTCTTTCGAAATTGGTTTCTAGTCTATAACTTTTGATTGAGAAGTCTGATCGAAAAAGTACGAATTGTTTTGGATTCTACGCCCCAAAATTAATAAAAAAAAGTGTTTTCCCGAGAAATTTTGGTGTAGTCGATTTTTGGTAAAAAAGGAAGGTTATACACTGCCTTTTTTGAGCCCCGAAAAAAAATTGTCTCAGATCGACCCGGAAAAAAAAATTTCTTATAGAATGTGGCCTGTAGAATCCATAATTTCAAACAGTTCCAAGATTGGGCTACTAGTTCAAAAGTTACAGCCCTTTGAATATTTTTTCGAAATTGGTTTCTAGTCTATAACTTTTGATTGAGAAGTCTGATCGAAAAAGTACGAATTGATTTGGATTCTACGCACCCAAATTAATAAGAAACAGTGTTTTCCCGAGAAATTTTGGTGTAGTCGAATTTTGGTAAAAAAGGAAAGTTATACTGGACTAATGCGCTAAACTGTCAAACTCTTATTTGCCGACGACTTAAAAATTTACTCCGTTATAGCGACTAGCGAAGAATGTTTACAACTTCAGAATAACTTAAATACCTACCTTAAGTAATTGGTGCAATGGTGGTTCAATTATTCTGTCAGTGGTGTCAATCTACTTCGTACGTCATCAATAAAAGATCTAGGCGTAACATTTGATAGCAAATTCACATTTAATGAACATATAAAAGAAGTGTGTCGATCAGCTAATCGAACTTTGGGATTCGCGCCGTAGCTTAGTTTGGTCCAAATTCGAGTACTGTTCGTTAATTTATCATCCCACTTACCTACAATACACATAAATCTGCATTGGAGGCCATACAGAGGACATTTTTAAAACATTTGTATTACAAAACCAATGGTACTTACCCTGTAAGAGGTTTTAATCATGATGAATTGTTGTCCCTATCACCTCGAACTGAGATCCTGTTTAGTTCACCTATCATTTCAATTTGTCGAAAGTTTAATTCAGTGTGCTGGAATTTTAGTAGCTTACCGACAATATTAAAGCATATTTCACAATAAAATATTTTTCTGCTTTTGCGCTTTTTTTTGTAATTTTTTGTACCTAATATTTTCACCTTGCTCACTAATTGTCCTGATTATTTTTTCCTCTTTTTTTGTATAATTTGATAATTAGTAATTACGTTCATTTAACTTATTCTTTGTGAATCTCTATTGAGTTTAATTCTAAGTTCTCTTCTTGAAAAAAGCGTGCATAAGCCCTTTTTTAAAAGTATAAAAGTTAAATAAATAAATCCAAAAAGGTAGTAAAAAATAGGTTGGCCATGATTAGCAAGTGCGACACATCACGCCATGGCCAACCAGTTTTTACCAATTTTTAGGATTTTTAATTTAATTTTTAGGCTTGTATGAAACCACACATCAGTTGCATATTTTTGTGTTATCCGATTAATTATTTATCCTAGGATGTTTTTATTTTTCCCGTAGGCTGAAATGGGGAGCAGGAATTGCCGAAAATGTATTTTCCCATGTTATTTCCCTATCCCCCGCCATTAACTTGCCACACCTAATGTATGTACTTAGGTACCACTGCATTTATTTAGTACACAAGTACATTGTCCTGTTATTGGAAAATATTCTGTTGGACAATAAATGATTATTATTATTATTAATGCTTCAAAATCCGAGCATTCATCGATGATTCCTTCGAGACTTAAAAGACCGTAGTCGACCGACCGACCGAGCAGCTGAAGTGGAGGCATTTCAAAGGTTTGGATTTGGAGAATATAGGCAACTGGTGATGCACATGTAATTCAATGGGGCGTGCATTGTCTCTGAATTTCATTCACCATTTCATAAGTAAGGGGTGTATATGATCGGAAAAATATGTATTAAACATTTAGATGTTACAAGGGCATCGAAAATAAGTTACATTTGTTTGAACAGGATTTTATGAGTATTTATTGGGACGATCATCCAAAACATAGATGAAAAAGTCTATTTTTTGTCATGTCACATTCTTAATCTTTTTAATCATTATTTCCCCCTGAAAACTATCACCTTTACTAAACCTAAAATGCCATGGTTCACGGATAACATTAAGTTCATGATAAAGCTACGAGACCGCGCATATAATAGATATAAAAAATCACACAAACCAGCACATAGGGATTACTACAAATCTCTACGTAAATTGGTTACCGACTCAATCAAAAATGAAAAACGAGCTTACCTCAACTATGTCTTAACTGATAGTAGGTAATAGAAGCAATCTATGGAAAGCTATTAAAGATCTAAACGTGTACAGCAAAGGCAGTGTGCAAGTACCATCTCACTTAAGTAATCCTAACGATATTAATGCTTTCTTTTTAAATTCTATTCCCACTGTTACTCCATCTTCACTGTCAGCATCGTCTCTCATTTATAACACCTTACATACTAAAGTAACTGAGAAGTTCAAATTTCACGTTGTTGATAACATGACTCTAGCAAAAATTATAAACAGTATCAAATCAAAATCGATCGGTTCAGATGGTATTGGAATTGATATGGTTAAAATTTGTTGTCCTTTCATAGTACCGTATATCACTCATATCATTAATCAGTGTTTAAGCTTTTCTGTTTTTCCGTCAGCTTGGAAAATTGCTCATGTTATTCCAATTCCCAAAAATAAAAACCCCACTCAATATAAAGATTTACGTCCTATCTCAATACTTCCTACACTCTCTAAAATTTTGGAAAAGGTGATGAAATTACAAATGTATGAGTATTTAGAAGGAAATAACTTACTGTCTACGTACCAGTCTGGGTTCAGGAAAAACCATAGCTGTACTACAGCACTGTTAAATGTTATGTTACATTTTTCATGCTACTGATGCCGGGATGTTGACAATAATGGTAATGCTCGATTTCTCTAAAGCGTTCGATACTATTAGTCATCGACTAATGAACTCAATCCTTTTGTACTATGGTTTTGAATCGTCAGCTGTTGAACTGATTAGTTGCTATCTATCTTGTAGGAGCCAACGTGTGGTTGTAAATAATGTCAAGTCTTCTGTAAATAATCTGGTTAGTGGTGTTCCGCAAGGGTCCGTTTTAGGACCATTACTATACGTTATATATTCAAATTACATTTGCAGTACTTTAACAAAATGTAAATATCATCAATATGCGGATGATACTCAAATTTATTACTCTTTTAGGCCAGATCAACTTCATTTTGCTATGGAAATAGTAAATAGAGAACTTAATGGTCTAGTGAACGCTGCGTTTGATCATAATCTACATATCAACTCTAGCAAATCGTCTGTAATGATTTTTGGACGTGATCAGGTTCGTGCCAGTACTATACCCTTCATTAAAATAAAAATTCAAGACACGGAATTAACAATCACTGATGTTGCTAAGAATTTGGGGTTACATTTAGATTACAGATTAAAATTTAAAGAACACATAAATTGTAGTGTGGGCAAAGCTTTTGCTACCTTGAAAAGGTTATACCCAAATAGACATATTCTATCTGTTCAAACAAAAATATATCTGTCTGATGCTCTTATTCTATCGCATTTCAACTACTGTGACGCTGTATATGGTGCATGTATAGATTCGACATCGATTGCCAGAATTCAAAGGGTTCAAAATGCGTGTCTGAGATTTATATATGGCATTAGGCGTGGTGATCACATCTCACATAAGATAAGAGAAGCTGGATGGTTAAATATGTCCGAAAGGAGGTTCTTGCACACTGCAGTATTATATCGTAAAATAATAGACACAAAAACTCCCTCATACTTGTTAGATCGATTACGCTATCGTACCGACATACATAATCTCAACCTGCGTCACAGAGGCTTATTAGATATACCACTCCACGCTACAGAATATTTCAAAAAATCGTTTTCATATAACATCGCTAACGTCTTAAACTCATTATCGCCCAATTTAACGAGCTTGAATTTAAATATGTTTAAGAAAAAATTAAAAAGTGAATTGCTGCAGTTTCGCATCTCAATCATGATGTAAGGAATTTGCAAAAACTCCTCTTCTGTGTCTATCACTTTTTTTTTAAATTATTATATTGGTACTATGTATGTATTAGGAACTTAAGTGCATGTGAGGGGTCGTGCATTTGCATTTGCATATTTTCGTGTCATGTACATAATATATATATATATATGTGTTAGGTGTTTACGCTTGCTACGTGTTTAGGCCACATGGAAGAGCAGTGCTTACTCACTGAATGTGGTCCTTTTTCCACCTTTTGCGTTATTTCTATTTTTGTATGTATTTTTTTTCCCCTTTTCTGTTTTTTTTTTTTTTTGGTGGAAATAAACTATTATTATTATTATTATTATTATTATTATTATTATTATTAGATAGATAGATGTACAGAGCATAGTTTCCATACAATATAAACTAATATTTTGTCCATTAATATATGTTTAAAAAATCTAGAAAACATGCGTCAAAAGAGTTCATACTTTAGGAATTAATTGCAAAAATTAGGGAGCATTTTAAGCAATACGAGTGTATGGGACCGGTAACGTGAATTCTATTTAAGATAATAGACGAAACGTCAAAAAATATTACAAAATTTACATTTATGAATTAAAACAGGTAGGTACATGATAAGGTCTTTAGGCTATAGGTATAATTTTTTAGAAGTGAGCATTTTCGATCTACTTATACGATAAGTTGACTTTCTTTGAATTTCAAAGGTGCGTCTTTACTAGGTATAGTTTTTGTGGTTTGCCCACTGTATACCTTTTAACATAATTAGAGTACCTAGCTTAATTTTTCGAACTTCTTTATGTTTTATTTATTTATTTAAATAATTTAAAGCTGCTGCTAACGGGTCAAACCCACACAAGGCATCTACAATTTACAATTTTAAAGAAAGCTATTTATAAACTTAACTGACAACTTTCATAGACATTCATAGACTGACAATCGTTCTGTTTTTATATTACTTTTTATCAAAGATAGGCCCTTCAGGTAATCTTTCAAAATTATTCATTTTTCTATTGAGCTAAGACATTGAACTGCACTTGTCCTTTTTTGAGTTAGTGAAAAAGTCGAAGTTACCCATATAAAAAGAATACCTATGGCCTATAGCATCATTACAAAATCCAAAAGACCCTCCTCCTGCATTCAGAGATGTAACCCATGAACCACATCTGTATAGTTGGTTGCATATACGTACGTTTCATAGGAACTTGGGCATCAGCAACAAGTGTGGATTCATGAATATCAGAATACATTATTCATAAAATATCTACCTATAATTTTGTGTAGAGCAGATGCGATGCCACACGAAATCAAACAGCCAAGCCAATTGTGAATTGTCACCGCCACAATCGGTATCACAATAACCGAAATCACGAGCTCAAAAATCGCAACGTTTCAATCCCAATCACATATTCCACTCTATTTTTAAAATTAAAGGCGCGTACCAACTACCAATAGCGATAGGAGCGGCTAATTCAAAAATGAAATGCAAGCACCTATTTTTTCTAAAAATAATCCCCTTTTACAACTGTATAAATAGCACCAAATTACAAAAATGTTATTGTGCTCAAAGCAATATCAAAAAGCACGTTTTGTAAAATGGAAGCGTCGTCCATGATAATTGCAGGCTTATTTTTTATATTTGTTATAAGTTTAGTGCTACTATATTTCGGAAATACGTGGCATGAGCCTGATGAAGGTGAGAAAATTGATACTAATAGCAATTTTCTAATACTGAAGCTTTTAGAAACAGAAGTAATAAAGACCAGAGCAGTTAAAACAACTGAAACGAAGAATAAGTCTTATCCACATATGCCATCACCACCCCCCCACATTACACGAGGAATGCAACGTGCACCCTCTCTCAACTCGCCATACCCAGCCTCGCCACCTCCTTTAGGCTTCGAATTCACGACCACTTTACCCACACCAACAGAAACTGTGCAGTCTCCTCTTCCATATCCGCTGGGAGAAATAGCCGAAATGCCTCGCCCGATAGATCTGACCAACTTTCGTCCACCGCCAAACGAATGGTCGTACATTGAAGAACAAGTTGTGAGAGATGTCGCCCGTGATGCACCCAGTATACATCCGCCCTCGTACGAGGAGGCTCTAAGTGAAGGATCTACAGTTCGAAATCGCCACCAAATGTAACAAATTTTGTGATCTTGCGTTTTACAATAGAAATTTGATATGTAACAAACATATAAAATTTTAATTTGAAAGTCAACTACATATACAAATAATTGGCCGCAATTAGGACAATTGAATGTCATGTCAATGGTCACACTTTCGCTTGCTTGGCTACTTCAGCATACGATGGAGGTAAATCCCCGGAAGAAGCATTGGTATACACAGGGTGTGTCGCCGATTGACCTACAAGTAAATTAGCAGTGCTACCTTGCAAAAACGGGCAATAATTACCAAACTGAGTCTGATAAATGTAAGGATTAGAGAGAACAGGTTGTGGATATGTGACAATGTTACTCGTGATTACACATTGTTGACGTGCTAAAACTAGAATTTCGTTAATGTAGTAGGTGTAGTACAACTTATACTCAATTTACGTCTTCGCTTTTGCCTATTCCGAATCCAGAAAAGAAATAATATCACTAGCAAAATCTTAAATATTATGAATATCGACCAAATGGTTGCATCACCCATCATATTCTAGTTTGTATTAACAGCACTATAAACATAAACAAAAATGGCACTTTGATTCGAGAAGCAAAGGCGATTGACAAACCAATATTTCCTTTTTCCATGTGAAACTGAAAAATAATTCCCAGAATTATTGGACTTTCCGTAATCCCGCCTACATCACTGTGATTACGCATACGCATGGATTTGGTTGCATTCACATCTTACCAGAGCAGCGATCAGTGATGCTGATGCAAATTATTTGCCAATGTTACCAGACTGTACCGACATTGATTATACACACAATCAATGGTATTGTATATACTGATGAAAATGTTTTGGAGATAAACTTTTTGCTGATTCAATACTGTGACACTTAAGTATCCCTTGATCTCTCAATAATTCTAAAGTCATTATATTATTAAAATAGTACATCCTTCCAAATACCTACCCAGAGCTGTGCAAATCCCTCTATAATAGATCGCGCTTTATTCCAAGCTCTGCAATGGTGACAATGAGCCTTTATACTCTTTTTAAGGTCAAACCTTCCTTGCAATTGAAGCTATTATTATAAGAATTGCATACTAAGAAAACGAATTCAATTTCTTTGCACATGAATTAAAACTCTTTTGGTCCTGAAGCTCATATGAAAGGGCTTCAAAGACAAAATCAAAAGCCTTATGTGTAGAGAGAGCTTGATATCACATATCAGGGGATTAAATTTGAAATAAAAGGTAAGTACTAACTAAAACCTTTTTTGTGTAAATCAGTGTTGTTTGGGATCTATGGTACGCTGTATTTTACCATTGTATATACACCCAAAGATTTTACCTTCACTGACTGGACTTTGTATTGTATGTGTAGAGCAAAATTTGTGTAATTAAACTATAAATAAATCATTCAAATACCTTCTAAAAACTTCATTAATTAAGCACATGTGATGAAAGATCAGATGCTTGGCATTGACACGAACATCTGCTAGTTAACCTAGTTGCTAGAAATTTCAATTTTTTGCCATGATCTCCCCCCATTTAAATTTCACCACATAACTCAACTCCTTCAAACATATCCATAGCTATATAGTCTTCAAGGCATGGATATTTACTAACAAATTTTAAAATCCATCCTACATCCAACAGTGAATTTTTACGATATTGTTTTTCAGGTTTACTTAACCATTAATCTTTTACAATATATAGACATATATAATATAAAAAATAAAAATACGAGTAGCAGTTATTTACTGGGAAGCTGTAGCCTTAGCAGAATTGTTATATAAAAATAATCAAACATTAGATCAAGGTACAAAAATAGTACATCTACTATAATTAAAAAAATGACTAGACACAGTATAAAAATAAATAGCGTAACGCTCTTAGAGCACATATAGACTGTGTGTGCCATAAAATTCAAGACATCAGTACATAAATTGGAAGGACACAGCACAGTTGTTCCACATTACAACAACAATCAGCTCGTCTTTAAAACACCTAGCAAGTATATAATTGGTCACAATTGCATCTAATGTAGAGTCGATGTACATTGGCCAGTTGCAACTTCATATGAAGGTGGCAAGTCAGAATCATTAGACATTTGCACATTGTTTGCTGCCGAATTTGTAGATGTATGTGAGAATGGCGGTGGATATGGGTTATTGGCACTTATTGGTTGCATTGGACGTGCTCGCGTACTCGGGAATGGCATTGTCGCTAAAAGCAAATTGGATAATACTGAAAGCATATTTATCAATACATACTGGGTGTATTACACGCATCCGAGTTGTAAGCTCCATGATGTGAATTGTTTCGATCTTGCAAGCTTGTTTGGCGATAATCGGTATGAGTTTGAGGAATTCTAGTATTACGGCTGTTTCTGACACTGTTTGTGTATCGCCTATATAGTTTCACACAGTACACTTTAAGCAATAACATTATCACGCAAAAACTAAAAACAGCAAAGAGTATAATTAAGAAGTAGGGGCCCATTTAATTGTGCTTATAATTAAAGAATGGCACTTTTAACTATATGCCATATTATTCATTAAATCATTAGTACAAAAACAATTTTTATGTATGCAAAAACCTAACCTGTGAAATTATGGAGGTGCCTAGCGTACCTTGCGGTGAGAATACGCACGCAAGTTTTTTCGGTAATGTAAATTGTAAAGCTGAATTTATAGTTCCGTACCCGCAACACCGTACCGTAACGTTTAGAATTAAACCCTACTTGTTGCGCGTGAACATTTATAGTTGGCGTTAACGTTGCGTTAGAACGGTTACGGTACGTAGGAAATGCCCAAATCTTATTTCTTACGGTAAATCGTGCTAACGCGCTTGTCTTCGGTAGTACTCGGATAATTCAAACAGTTGACTTTATCCTGACGTTCGTTTCGTTTATTTACAATAATTATTGACACTTTGTTGGTTATTATTATTTTGAAATGCACGTTACTCTTACTGACAGATGACATACAATGACAGAATTCGTTACGCGCTAATGTGCAAGCTGCCACTTGCCACTACGGAACTATAAATCGTATTATTTTCGTTAACGTAAGATTTTACGGTTCCGTTCTTACGTTATTACGGCTACGGAACTATAAATCCGGCTTTAAGCTCACGCTCCACTCAAGCTACGCTCAAAATATACAATGCAATCAAATAGGAATGTACTTTAAAAAACATAAATTTATATATGCAATAAAATCGTTCATTTGAGCGATTCTACGTGAAAATCACTTATAATAGTAAATATAGCCATTTCCCTTATCACTGGTTATTGGGACTAGCAATGTTGCTTGGGTATATTGAGTATCTATAATCGCCAACTCATATATATACCAAATAGATTCTAAACTGAATAGTGTTTATTGAAGAGATTTTTATTAGAGAGATAGATAACTCACCCCTTATCCAGGGTATCCAAGCCTACGTTGGAGTCGAGGTCAGTCGGAACAATGAGTGTTGTAAATCATTTGGTTACAGTTTTTGCAAATGTTAAGTTTACAAACAACAAGTTGATAGAAGAATTATCAAAATTTATTTCAATATAATTACTTTTGGTCATGTAATGAAAACATAAACATAAATTAAGTAGACACTACACCAAAAACGTAAACGTTTTCAAACAAAAGATTAACAGTATCAAATACGTGATTTTGCATTGGGGTTAAATCATGTCAATATTTCAAAACCAACGTTGGAAAATAATAAATAAATACAAAGTCTCAAACAAAACACAAATAAATTACAAAGAAATGCTACCTGCATTAAATAACACCAAATAACAACAAATTTATACTCCACGTTGCTTTGGTGACCACCATTAAAAAACAAAACAAGATGCCAAACGAAGTAAACTACCAACCGAAGGTACTCTCTTAAAATTTGCGTGGTTGCGAGCTCCCAAAAATATGTCCATCAGCGTGCATACGTGGTGGAACCTCTCAATTTATCAGTTTATTTTTCTGTGCAATTTGAAACAAATAAGTATAGGTTGCTTTAATATCTGAAAATGCCGCACCACCGGTGGTACTTAAGCACACTAAACATAAAGGCCGTTTCGCAAACCGCCTTTTTCGCTTGATTGAAATGAGCACTCACTTGAACGATAGCGTGGCGTATTGAAATCAATGTGAGCGAAAAAGGCGTGCATGTGTGCGATGGCCTTAAATCTGATATAGCGGTAAATTTGGAAAGAAAACTTTAATTTGGGATAGATAAATAATAAGGTCTATTTGTCTTTTCCAAATTTAAATTTAAAAAAAAATGTAACTAAAATTAACTAGTAAAATGTAGAACTGCATTGCCTTTCAAAATAGGTATGTTTATAGAATTATCTTTAAATTGGGGACAATGATTTTTTAGATTATTTATTAATCATTTCATTGCACACTTTACAACAATTTACAGAAAACAATCATTCATTATTGAACACATCAAAAAATGGAAAAGCAGCTTTTGAAGGCACTGTAAGATCGGCCAAAAAGCAAACAGTACCTGCAATACCCTCATATAAACTAAATGGATTATCCGGTACTCGCGAATGTCTTTTAAATTGATCAGTTTCCATAAAGCGCATGAAAACTAATGCTCTATGCAAATATTTCTGGTCGTTAGTTAGGCGATACAATAGTAAAAATACATATGCATTGCCTGCAATACCATGACATAAGCCAGGCCCTTTGTGCAACAGCCCCTTATTCCATACTAAATCTGCCATTTTAATGCATGACTTCAAGTAGTTTTCCTCATTCCATACCAAGTACGCTTTGGCCATCAAATAAACGATACCAGGAGCACCGTGGCACCAATGCACCAACTCTGCTGGCCTAGAAATTTCGTCTGTGGCACTGGGAAAATTACCTTCGTCATCTTGCAGCTGTAATAAATAGTCGACACTCGCTTTTATATCTTTGGCATCAGAGGGATTAGCATCTAAAAAGCCAGGTACACTCAAAAGTATTTGGAGAATAGAACTCAAGCCATGAGCAGCACCAAGGTATTCGACATCATAATATGCATACATCAAAGGTGACTGCGACTGATGTTGAGATGCATACCTACGACCTGAAGCGACAATCACACTGCAGATGTCATATAAGTCTTGAAGTTTAGGTTGAATTTTTAACTCCCTCGCCAACCACAACGCACCACAAATATATCCAGCACGTCCAACAAACAGCTCATCCGCACCACACGTTAAAAACTGCATTTCCTTACATGTATTTGCGGTGTCGTAAAACAACTTTTGAAAGTACTCGCACTCTGCCGTTTGCCCGGTTTTGCTATAGATAACAGATGCCAGCGCGTATATACCGCAATTGCCCAAAACAAACGAAGGTACGTCTTTCACTCGAGCGGCATATTTTTGGGCAGTAGCCAATGATGGTTGTAAGTACTCTACGGCGTTCTCTATAAAAGTGCTGCTCTGATTTTGAAAACTGGGTAACTTGCTTAAATGATAAAACATGTAAGAGACGCCCGCCGTCCCAAGGTAAAAACCATCCTCACCGTACATTGGCACGGCTTTCAAATTGGCCATGATATTTTCGATCATCAGATTGATTTCCGTTTTGATGTGATCTTCTGGGATTTCAACGATTGTTTCGCTTGCGTAATCTTTACTTATATTTGGGAAAAAGCGAGTAGGAGCCATTTTCACTACAGAGTCCACTTTCTTAAATAAGGCAGATATAAATTTTTTCATTCCTCTAACTTTTTTTGTGAATACTTAAAAGTCAGCGCGTGAAACATTTTGTTTTTGGTAGCCTTCTGCGTTTGGATTTTCCCAAGTATAAGATGTTGCAATAAAACCAAAAATTATTAGTTTTAAAGAATTTTTTTAATTCTTCCAAAGAAAAACCTTTGATCATACATACAAGAAATAGCCGAAATCTTAGGTTATGTTACAATAACAAAACACGAAGGTTGCATTCAGGGCATTATTAGTTGACTTCCGTCCGTGTATATATACATTGCGATCAAAAATGAGTGACCGTCTAGTCACCTCCCAAAGGCGACTCGACACTCACTCATTTTTGATCACTCGAGACTAGCATTGTATATTTAAACGCTTCTTGCCATGGAGCAATACATCTCGCAAGAACTTGCAGAAAGAAATTGCAAGGTCATAGAATTACATGCAATAAGCATTGTATTGTATTTACACTTTGATCTTAGCCATAGGCCGAGAAGCGATAGACAATTGTACGGTAGTCGTTAGTGAAACTGTCACCCTTCAGCAAAACGACCAATGGCCAAATGCCAAAATAATGTAAATATAGTTTTTTGAGCGGTTTTACATTATAATATATACTATTGTTGCAATAAAGGAGGGATATTAGCATATTAATTTATCAAGGTTGTATTGTAGTAAAGTGTGTTGTTAATAACTGTAATGTCACTTGCGATGTATTAAAAGACTTTGGATTATGTTGATTATTAAAGTTTACTTGAATATTGAAAACGGTTGAGAAGAATAACACGGCCACAGACTCAAATTCCACAGTATCGGTTCCGGTTATCATAACTTCTTGAATGTGGCTCCAGTTCCCTATAAATGCAACTGGTTCTGGTGATTTCACAAAAGCTGAACATTTTTCCTAAGCTCTATTTGGTATCACCAGCTGGTGCACCTCCGGGGGGTAATCTTGAATTTTTGTCTTGAAGTTTATAATGAATTTCTTATGGCAATAATAGATAGTGTGATGGGGAGGAGAAATTTGTCAGAAATGTACAATAATCTGGCAGAGAAAGTTTCCACAACATTCTTCCTTGATTTATGCTCCGCACACATTCTTATAGTAGAACAAAGATAGGGCTGTCACTTCACTTTTGAACTACAATTCCCTATTAAGAATTGTTGACTTGCAAACGGAAGGACTCAAATTCGACTAGTTACAGTTAATTTTCCTAAATCAGATAAGTACCTAAACATAAATAGGTAATGACATTTATTAACAATTTCATCATTTGGATAGGTACATTATAAGTCTTATAATTTTAACACCAATTTTAATTGTTGTAAACATACTTACAATAAATGGGTGTCTTTTAATAATGTGTATTCACAGCACGATATTTTAAGTCTCTTGAATAAGCACATCACCCGCATATAAACAGTTTAATAATTTGGATTATAGGGAGCTTGTTTCGAATAACCTTCGCTAATTGGCGTTCGGGATGCCGTAGGCGGTTGGCCAACTGCTTCCATGTACGATGGCGGCAGTTGCTGTGGGGGGAAAGGGGTAGCTGAAGGTGGATAAGGGGCCGCTGAGGGTGGATAAGGAGCAGAATTTGACGACACTGCGTAAGGTCCGGGCGGTGGATATCCCCCTGCTGATTAGAACAATTGATAGTCACTTGCAATAGTTACAATTGAGGTTACAATAGATAAATAAATTATTTACAATTATGTACATACCCATAGGCATAGGGCAAAACCCGGGAGCTATTTAGAATAAAGTTTCATGTAAAAATATTCAAATAGTGTACTGTAATTGAACTTACCAGGTGGAGGTGGATATGTTGAGGTTGTCGACACCGGGTATGGACCTGCTTGGTATCCAGACATGGGAGCCAATCCTGGCGGTACTACTGGCTGTGTAGGGTAAGGGTGGATAACAGACGCAGATGGTTGAGTAGTTACGGTTACAGTTGCTGGAACTAATAAAGAGACAATGTGTGCAAGTTTTGTGTATAGGTACAATCACATACCTCCATAAATTGTTCCTTCCCTGTGCTTTTTACAGCACCAACCGCATATGGAAAATAATACACAAAACACTATAAACAACACTATTGGAAGAAAGAGATCCATTACTGTATGCGAAATTAGGAATTAATTGTTTAAGTACTTTACTTTCACAAGTGGTGTTAAATACTTATTTACATCACATATAACGCTGATGATGATGAATCATCAGATTGGGTTTCTCCCCTCTTTAAATTCAGTCACAATCTTATCATTACGACCATATGTATTTTGTACATCAGAGTAAAATACGATAATTACTTGAAATTAAAAAAACTATGGGAAAATACATAAAACAGGAATGAATTAGCTGGAATGGAAGTGTATCATGAACCGTCCAAATGAATTTGCACCTGGATTCCCCCGGTAAACCTACATGTTTAATTTGAATTAAAATGTAGATGTGCAAAAATTTAATTCACAAATTTTTGCACCGCATATGACGCTCCTACCATTATCTTGGTTAACTATCGTAGTAAGTACTACTCGATCGACTATTCACTTCTCATAAAGGAAATAGGCTCGCGTTTCCAGACCCTGTATATACGCTTCAAGCCCTCGGGCCATCACCTGGTGTAGTATGCAGTAAACTTATAGGTTATGTTTTCTTTTTCTTGGTATGGAACGTATTTAGCAAAAATTATTATTATTTGTACTAGAAGGAACCGGGATAATTTCTGATAATGTAATGATTACATATTCCAATTAAAATGGAGTGGTACTGGTATACAATTGTCTTCGTTATGTTCATGTTAATCTTTTGCTTAAGATTTATATGTAAACATGGGTGTAATGTTGGTAAATACAATAAATTAGTAGCTACTTACTTGTCGAACCAAATTGATTTTGTAGAGCCAGATTATAGACGAAATGAACCTCAGAACATATCCTCGCCCGCAGCAACTGCCGGATTCCAAGTGGTGAGGCAGCACATATCTATACGTGATGAATACTCTTCAATGTGTTCCCCTCTAACGGAGTCTTCATCGTTGTCAGATAGCAGCATGTATCGATCTAATGCCATACCAACATTAAGCACTCCATATCCTCCTAGCATATCTACCCTAAGTAGCGTATACCCTCCTCCTTTATCCAATGTAGAAAACATTAATCTTCCTTATAGGTCTGAACAAATTGCATCCACTCCCTCAGACGATTTACCTCCTTCTTATGAGGTTGCTACAGGTCAATTATCGTCAACTGTAGGTGTACGACAAAATCATAATAGTCACGCATAACTGATGCCCACTTTATGGGGTGGTTTTTATCTTTTTCTATATGTATAACTATAAAAAAATGACGATTGCATTTCTATTTGATGTGCCTTTATATACATGTAATGTCAGATTGTTTTTTAACAAAACTTGTTATAGAGTTTTAAATTGTTGATATTTTTTTACAATTTTTATCAGATGTGAGGATAGTTTTTTACATTTGCTTTAATTGTTTATTGTTATCCAAGACAAGCATTTGTACATTATGTTTCGAATAATAACTGTTACTGAATGATAATTTTGTGTATTATAGAACTTTGATTATACTAACAACAATAAAAAGTTATAATATGCATTTAGCAGTGTGCTATACTGCTGTTGAATCATACTGAGGTGGCCTTGAGTGCATACATGACAAAAATGGGCTAGTTCATAAGACAACAGTTACAGATATGTAACAGTTGTGCTATTTTCGAATGCACTTTCTCTCTTGCGCAATGTTAAGTTTTGGTGCAAATCTTGAAACCGCTGTGAATAGGTACTTATTCAGAAACTAATCGTGCCGAATAACCAGCATGCTTAAAAACAGCCTTATTAAATTTTGTCGTTTTTCGTCAAATTGTTTCGCTAAGAAGAAGTACTTCTAGTCAATTTTCCACCCAAAATGTTGTTACGTGGCAAATTGACTCGACGTACTTTTAAGCATGGGCGCATGCCTGTTGAGGACCCAAAACAAGAGAAGGATAATAAAATTAAAATAAAATTTGACGAAAACGGCAAAATTTAATCGGCTATTTTTATGCACTTCGGATGTTGATGTTGAGAAAATACCTTTGTAAACAAATTAACGGTATGCAACCAACATTACAGCAATACTCAAAAAGCCATACGCGTTATGCTTCTTCCTATAATTATTTTATTTATTTTTTATTTTATTATCCCTCTCTTGTTTTGGGCCCTCAACAGGCATGCGCCCAATTACAGAGTGACCCGCATAATGCTATTTAGAGGTGCCTCTGCAGAAGGTCTTACTATACATTACTTATTCAATGATAAAACGCAGAACTTTGTGCGCGAGAAAAGACTAAAACAAATAAATATATTACGCACACGCGACAAGGCGATACCAAACTCGTGCATAGCCCACATATACATATACAAAAAAACTTGAAATAAATCAACTACGGCAACAAAATATAAGAGAAAATACCCAAATAAAACATCTCAAATTGTAGTGCAGTTAAACCAACAAGAACGAAACACAAGTAAAAAACACGATAAACCAACTCAAGTACAAAACACATCTACGTTCATTTCAGGAAAAACAACACGCAAGCAAATCACACAAATAGAAAATAGGGGAAATGATAATGTAGAAGATCCCTCTTTCTCGTGCATGCGGTACTCCCTCCGAGGAATAGTTAAATCGAAGCATACAGAGGAACAGTACACTGATCATAAACTTAAATCACATAACTAAATATTTATCAACAATATAAAGACATAATCACCTGTACAGGTATAACAAACAAACATACTCGTATATGATTCAGATAACGGTACTCAAAACCAAATGCCAAAACGCCTTGCTTCGATATCAGTATTTCATGAAAAAATGTAAGTAGGTAAGAGCAAATTGTGACCTGAAAGTCAAAGATTAGTGGGTAGCACAAGAAAGAATAAAATGGTTACTACCTGATGTAGATACACTTTTAAAACCTTTTAAAACAACAAATAAAAAAACCTGCTAGGTCTGCCATTGCGACGCCAACTTTCATCTCAAGCTTTGTTATGAAAATCCCGGTCTTCGACATCTGCGTAGAATATAGTCGAAATCGGAAACGTAGCACGTACGATTGATGTAAGTATACCAGAGATCGTATATAGACTGGTTCACTTTTCGAGGTTTTTCTGTCCTAGGAGCATTTCAGACAACATTTGGCCAACAAGGCTTTTTTTACTAATTGGTACCTGCTGAACACGAATATCGATGTTGGCATCTCGAAATCTGAACCGGAAGTCCAGAATTCAAGATGGCGGCCAATTTCCGAAAATGTTTATCTTTTCACTCATGCGACCGATTTTTTCGATCTAAAAACTAATTATAATGTTGTTCCTGACGTACGTCACGATAATAATAGTTAACTATTGTTTTAACAATAATGTAATAGTTTTTTTTCACTACTAGCGTCTGATGACATGTTTATTAACCTTTTTTCCACTTGTAAAGTAGGCTTTCTCGGCATTTGTTCAAAGTGGTTAATAATTTGAACATTATTAACTAGTAGTCAATAATGAGAACTGTCACGCTGTCACTTTTAGAAAACACAGCCCGAAATTTCGCTCAGTAAACGTTTAGACAAGTTCTCTAAAAAGAATAATTGCCACCATCCGCCATTTCCAGATATATTACTTACTTAAAATTACCACATTTTGAAAAAATTCGAACGAAATTACTCTTTGAAAATATCTCAGTGACAGAACAAAATACGGCCTGTTTGACTTGTACTTACTTCTACGTACTTGATTGACATGTTAAATTAATAAACAAAAAATTCTGTCCAACGGTTCATTTTCTTATCAATATAATATGTTAATTTAGAGGATTTCAAGTGCTAGTAGTGAAAAAAATAGTATATATACCACGGTAGAGAAGTCTATTATTGCCTTCGCACCTTACACCCCTCTGCGCAAGCGCCTCGAGATGTAATCTTGGTGCTCAGGCAATAATACTGTACTTCTCTCCCTTGATATATAATGTACTATTTTACCGACAGGATGCGTAAAATTAAGAATTACGAAATTCCTAGCTCTCATTGCCAAAAGGAGGACTTGCAAAACGATTGTTTCTAGTAATCCTGACACATATAAGTATTTCCGACATGCGTTTATATTGCATAATTCTCCTTATAAAGTTTTGATAACTACAATCTTTCGAATTTTACGTTAATTTTTAACTGAAAAAAATGAAGGAGTTAAACTAAACTGCGGTGTTTCGGAAGATTCTTATTTCGCTAGGTAGTAATTACCGTTACTCAGGATATATTATTATTGTTCAAGTATGAAAGCATATAGAAAAGTGAAGACAAATTTATCTTATTTTCATGGTGTTAGGTCAATCGTCTTCTTGAGAATATAGGTAGTACAAATCAGTTGAGCCTTGCAACATTAACAAAGTTTTGACCAGCAATCCTATTGACAACCACAAAGGACGATATCTACATCAGGAGCTTTCCGAATTAATGTAACGTTGTTGGAATGGGGATGTAGCCATATTCAATTCTTTCCCCAGGAAATCAAGGATAGATGTGCTAGTCTGGGCGACATTTCAGAGTTTAAGGTCAAAGAACTACCTCTTGAGATTTACACCTGATATGCCGTAATTAGGGAAATGGATGAAATGCTAGAAAAGATTAGATGGAATCCCAAGAGAATGGAGTTCAGAATTGGTAGATCTAAAGCTTCGCAGCTCCTGAAACCTGGCAATACTTCTCCACTCTGGGAAGTTCTACTTGATTAACCGAGATGGGGTCAGGGACGTGCGCATTCTTCCAAACGGACGTCTGGTAGAGACTTCTCCCTACCGAACTAAGCGGGACGCGCACCGTCGGTGGAAATTATGGTATCAGCTACCTAAATAGAGGAAAAGACGCCTCCCAAAATATGCGAGCAAGGTCGATATTCTGAACAAGTGAAGTTTCGTGTACCTAGTTATGTTACCAACCTTGTATAGTTTTGTCACGAAGATTTTTGCAAAAGATATATCTTCTCACTGAGGAGTATGGTACCCAGCGTGAACAGTAAAGAAGAGCGCTTTTGAAACACTATCTGGTTGACATCCGGGTTCGCATGTCGGGAATACTTGTATGTGTCAGGATTACTAGAAACAATCGTTTTGCAAGTCCTCCTTTTGGCAACGAGAGCTAGGAATTTCGTACCTAATTCTTAATTTTACGCATCCTGCCGGTAAAAAAACTATATTACATTGTTGTTAAAACAATAGTTAACTATTATTATCGTGACGTACGTCAGGAATAACATTATAATCCGTTTTTAGCTCGAAAAAATCGGTCGCATGAGTGAAAAGATCAACATTTTCGGAAATTGGCCGCCATCTTGAATTCTGAACTTCCTGTTCAGATTTCGAGATGCCAACATCGATATTCGTGTTCAGCAGGTCCAAATTAGTAAAAAACGCCTATTTGGCCAAATGTTGTCTGAAATGCCCCTAGAACCTGTTAAAACGCTGCTTTTTATAAAGGTATTTTTGTTTCAGATGTAAGGGTATAAGTACCATAAATAAATAATGTAGCTAAATGATCACTGTAGTAATTTTGTAGGGTATCTATAAGGGATTGGCCATTGATTTGATTGCAACAAATATAATTATGCCCTTATACATTAAATTAATTTTGATTGCATAGGTAATTTTTCCGCTTGTACGTAATTGAATCTGTAGGTACCTACTTTCACAAACTCATCTTTTAATCCGGTTCATATTCAATGGAACTAATCCTTCGATTCATATAGGTAAATATCGTTGGAGGAAAAGTGAGTTCGCACTTTATGTCGTTTCTGATAGATAAAGGATAAAGGTACAGAAGGACGAATGAATGGATAAATGAGCACATAATAAAATTAATGTTATCAAAAAGGATCTAAAATGAGAGGTATTTTTCAGGGAGAGTTTTGAGCGTAGATACCCAATCGGAGGACTGTTTAAGGAGTAGCAACAAAATGAATACATGCACATTAAAAAACTGAAACAGTAAAAACGTCATGATTTGTTTATTTTCAAAAATAGCTATTATATAGGTTGGCAGATAATATTCTCGCTTTTCCTTTAGGAGAATTTTATACGGAATGATTCTATCTCTGCATGCCCAGTGTAAGAAAAAGCTCCAAAAAAAGGCGTAACTATCTTATGTTCGTTGGCTCTTTTCGTTTTCCAGTTGGGGACGTCAGACGAATGGATAAAACAATCACAGCAGGAACATTTCTGTGTACTGTAGGTACCAAATTTGAGCCTTTTATGTTAAATTGTTTTTATTTCAGCCTTTTTGACGTTATTGATGCTCCTGCTACCGCTACGGAATTTATAGGTTTTTTAAGGATGCCAGAAACTGCAGGCATTGCAACTATTTTTCCCACTGTAAGGACTTCAAAGCCGCGCTGAAAAATGGTCACTTTTAAAGTCCCCAAAGACTTTTTGCCACTTACAATTAGTGAAATACGCGCAGGAGCAGAGCTGATTATCTATCTAAAAGACTCTTTTGTAGAACAATTTAACGTCTTTACTTAGGGTTTTAGGCTTCCTTCCTAAGATTTCAACATCCTTTCCAAAGCCAAATCTTTATACCTCGAGTCTAGGTCCTTTTTCTACCTTTCTAAAATGCTCTAGAAAACGTGTTATAAGTAAAGTAAAAAGGTTATAAGTTAAGGGATTCGACGATTGGGGACTCATACTGCAGCCTCAATTGAAAACAAATAAGCAACTCAAGAAGATAAAAATACCATACGATTTATTGAACTACTCAGTTCTTATCATTAGAATTTCAATAATCAGTACTTACGATTTTTCTTCCAGACTAAGGTTAACTCGCTAAAGACACTAAAGGAAATAGTCGTGTCAAGCTGTCAGGGAGACATACCTACATTTTTAAGGAGTTTGCTGCTTGTATAGCAGGACCCACCTCACGAAGAATTTAGCGGATAATGGGAGACTAATAAAATTTATTAACATCTCTTTAACCAAATGCAGCAGATAGTACAGGTTCGCAATAGTGGTTGGTAACGAAATGGTCACCCGAAGAGTGGGCGGGTACTACGAGTATATTGTTCATATAACGCCAGAACCACCCTTACGAGTCGGCAGCATGTTCTTACAAGAAAGGTTGTATGGGAAACTGGGGTTTCCAATGAATGGGCTATTTCATATTTGTGTTCTTTTAATGTAGATACCTAGAAAAGCATAGTTCCTGCATAATATTTTGTACGTATAGAACTGTCAAAACCGAAAAATGCATCGTTCGTGAGCTGAAAGCGAAAAATAAAAGAGCGTAATTAATTTCCGTTTAATTTACGGTTGTTAACCCCTTTCTGGGGAGGTGGCAGTGTTAAAAATGGGACCCATAATCCAAAAATACGCGTCTACAAACTGCATTATATGCACGCATATCAATACCATGGAAAAATAAGTTTCATTCCCACCATGCATTTATTTACTTGTTGTTGAGGTTTTGTAAATAAAAAATTCGTGAATATATCTACCGTTTCTGACACTAATGAATGGCCGTTTGCACCATTGAGTTTAGTTTTCTAACTCAATGGTTTGCACCGACAAATTTAAGCGGCTCTTAGCTTAAGCGTATATAGCTTAAAAACCATGGCAACGATTATTAAGACAATGGTTGTCATGAATTTTAAGCTATGCTTAAGATAAGCCCCGCTTAAATTTGTCGGTGCTAACGGCCATAAAAGGTGACAATAATCTTTGCCCGAAAAAAACTAAAAATTACCTACGATTCAACGGAACAAAATTCAGTAGGTATAGTTTTCTTGAGAACCAAGTGAAGAGCTTCTTTATAAGAAATCGAACATTTTGTTAGCCTATTCAGCTTGTCCGTCTATTCTGGACGTAGCATGGATAGACTTGCTAATCCTAGGAATGTGATAAATAAATTATAATGTGCACAAACCGAACATTGGAACATAATGAATTACAATTACAAACAATCATTAGAAACATGTGTGGTAAACAATAGCACTTTATTAAAAAATTCGTTTTAAAGTCATACACACGATGTGCATACCTTAATTACTACGATAATAATAATTAGAATATCGTTGATTGTTACTCGCTGTCATTGCCTCTTCATAGGAAGGTAATTCATCTAAAAGGAGAATGTCGTCTAATTATTTGCCGAGGGCTAATTTAAAGACGTACCTTTGAAATATGGCGGGGGAGGTGTTTTAATTATGCTTATATTATCGTGAATATTGTGCGATTCGAGCGATATTTGGTCGTATTCATCACGAGCTCCGCTGCTTGCTAAAAATGGTCAAAAAGAAATTGATCTAAATAGTAAGTGCTTACGATTACCGGAAGTAATGGTAGTTGATACTTGTGCGCTATTTGGTAAATTTGGAGGATGTAAGAAATTGCTATTGATTTGCAAACTATTAGCCGACATGGCACAATTGCACGGTAGATCAATGGGACTCGATTGTGCCGCAACTGATGCCGTTCGTGGATACACTCTGGCTGTTGTTTTCTAAGGGCTAACAAAAATTAATATGCAATCGAGCTACTTACATTGGGAAAATTGGTGACGTCGTTTGCGTTGGGTGCAGTAAAATTTACAGGCCAGGAGAAATATGAAAAATAACGAAATCAAAACGATTTGTGTTACATATGCCATCCATGAGGCACTAATCTAAAAACAAAAACGCGGTACCTAATTACATTACGTTTACCGAACAGCTATGATGGACGATTGTCATCATATTGACCTATTTAAACGTTTGAATACAAACAATCAGGAACGATTTTAATTCGATACAAACAATTTGAATGTGATAAGGTTAATGCGCGCGTTATTGATCTTATAGCTATAGGTAGAGGATTAATTAATCACGCACTGTGTAATGGTAATAATTGTTATTAGAGCTATAAGGATAACTAAGGGTAAAGTGGAAAAATAACGATCGCAATAATACCAAAACGTAGCGAATCGTAAAGGTAATAGAGAGGCGATATTACATTTATTATGGTCCTATGAAATTACATAGATATGCGCCGTAGGTATAAATTGAATTACGGTTAAGGGTTTCGCACCCTCCTAACCGTTCTATTCGTATGTCATCCGCCATTTTTTTCCAAAACAGTCTTTGCCCCCCTCTCCCCCTTCAACGTGTTCAAGAAAATTAACGACGAGGTGTCTTGGACCCTCGAGACAAAAAAAAGTCCGAGATCCTCGACATTTGGTACACGCCAGAGACGGAGCTAAACGCATGTAACGTTAAGTTTTTTTCTTATATCACCTCCTTCGCCCGCTACGAATTTCGAAACTTTCAACTTTTCCTAAAAGCGACCTCACCTCCTTTTTACTCAGGCGGCCGCGCGCGTCGGACAGTACTAGTTCCAGAAGCACAAACCCCAACGGCCACGAAACGGAGTCCGTAGGTTAAATAACTTTTTTCTGAAACTACTGTGAGACTTTCGTCTCTAAAAGGAGTGAAGAAAATGTGATTTTCCTCTCTAGTGGGGAAAGTAAAAAACAATTGCTGCGTAAAATTGAAACATATCCGTATCTAGATTGCTATGTGTCAAACTTTAGTATTGCATAGATGATTTTTCAATTTTGATTGTAGTTTCAGAAAAAATAATGTGTAAAACTTGAGAACAAAATGTTTCATGAGCGAAGGGCCCAGGAGGCATCTCAAACTATTTCCCCCGTGTTCACATATTTTCATCAAAAGTGTGAAGATGGACATTTAAATATATATGAAGTCTACCCCTGTTTTTAGGGGAATTTCTGTCCGTCTGTTCCTCGTCTAACTCGATAACGAAAAGAAACGGCGATGTGAATCGGTTTCTACGAGTTCAAGGATCAGTACTGTTGTATATGAGCCGGATTAAAAGTATTATCGTTTCCGAATGCGAGCTGAGTGGCAAAAAATTCTTCTACTGAAAATCGTATGCGATTCTTCGAAACTTCACAATCTCATTTCTAAGGCGCTAATTTGTACACTTAAATGAGAAGGGATTCATAAACTAACTCAAAAATGATAAACATGAAATAAGCAATCCAACTAATTCAAAATTAATCCTTCCCACACTTGGCCGTAAATAATACCTAAATTCTAGGATTGAAAAGCTTTAAACCTACAACTTTGTACCTTTATTTTATAGAATATCCGTAGGACAACCGGACCTCTTGTTTTCGTTAGGGGTTATCTAATATCACAGGTGTGGGAGTGCAAATTTTAAGTACTGCCGCAAGGGCGCGACCATGTCTTGATAATGATACGGCACCAAATACCCCTAGCTGCTTGGAAGTTGGAATTGCACAGGTCGTTTTCTTAAAACGCTTTTACACTTAATGCGCCGCTGTGCTTCCACCAACTTTTACTTTTTCAAAAGAAGTGATAACTGTCCCTGTATTCTATCCATAATCGCTATTCGACTGCTCTTTCGCTTATACTTTTTACGCTAAACTCGGACAACCTGTACTCTCAAACGATCTCTACCCCTAACCCTCTCTCTTCATCGGAATATCGATATTGTTTTAATATTTTTTCTTCCATCCACCTACAAATACTTTGGCATCCTCTCCCTTATTTATAACTACTACTACCTCGTGCACTCTGGAGCCTCTGTTGTTGTATTCTTGCATCCCAGATTCCTTTCTGCCAGGCCATTTTCCATCTTGTCCCCTACTCCTTTTCTCCTTTCGACCTCAGCACGTCCGTTCCATTTCTTTCGTAATATTTTCTTCCCAATTCCTTTAGCGTTCATCCTCGTTGTCAAGTCAAGCATTCTTTCTCCAATTCGCTTTCTCTATCGCCCGCGCCCCTTTCCCCGAATTTTACCGCCATGCGCCCCAGCGCTATCCTTATCTTTTCCATTTTAGTTTCTTCCCCCTAATAGACAACTTGGGGTCTGGTGTGCTTCCGCTTAACCCTAATACTCATTTATAATATCTTTTTCGTACTTCTTCCAGTTCCTCCCATTCCTTCCACCCCCCAGATCTCCGTTCTTGTTCTAAAGTCCCCCTATCTCCAATTCCCCCCACATTTGTTCTCATGTGCATTTGCCCCATTGTTCCTTTGGCACCGTAAATATTTAATTCCTTCTACCTCTTCTATTCTTTTTCCTCCCGCTATTTCTATTCTATCTCACTTGTCCTTCCACCCCGCTCCCTAAATCTTTTCATCTTCGACTTTCCTTTATTTAACTCCATTCCTTTCCCAATACCTTTACATCCTTCCCATTATTTCCTTCATCCTATATACAAAAACTTATACTTTTTTTTTAGTCATGTCCATTCCTTCATACATCGATTAAAATCATTTTTTTATTAAAAAATTCGCGTTTGAAACTGAAAAGGCATGCTAATCACACCTAAATAAATGATTTTAAATAAGGTAGGTAAATTTCAACCCTTGACAAGTTAATCTTTTTGTCAATACAACACTACAAGTTGGCAAGGTATATAAAGGATAATTTGCTTAATCCTTATATTATTGTTCTATAATGTTTGCGCTACTTACACTTTTTACGTTATTCGTGTGTTATGCAAATACGGAACTAAATAAACATTTGGTGTTAACTTATTTTGAATATAAATATTGCGATGCAGGTATAATTTTTAATTGTGATAGTAAAAGAAGTATGTGTACACTTTGGGTTTTGTAAGGATCTATAGTCACAATTTTTTAGATCGTGTTGATTTGATGAAATTCTTTAGCGAGAATAGCATAAAAGTTGCAATATATGATGTAAATGATCTAAGATTTTCACTGACCAGTATATTTGATCGAGATCAAAGTAACCTGGCTGTTGCTGTAGATGGTGATTGCGAACAAATGGAAACATTTTTTCAAAACGTGAGTAGTATCTACTGAACCAAAAAGGCACTAATACAACCGGCAACGAACATAAAAATCCAAACACCGTTTAACTTATGTATTGCTTTACATTATGGTAATACCTTGCAGATAATGTAAATTCGTAGAGACCTGAACAACCCAATCCATATAGTTCACTTTATGTTTATAGATTGAAATTATTGTGGTAATTATATACGCACAAGATTATGATAACGACTTTGTCTTATTTATACCAAAGTATGCTAAATATTATATTAGTGCTCATTACTTCCAGTTACTACATATACGTATATCTATACTCCTCGCCATAAGTACCTGAGCACCCAATGTACTTTTGATTAATTTTGATGAAATTTTTAGGAACATTGTATTTATTTCGAAATAGAAACAAGGAAGACATGATACAATTACAACAAATTCGAACAACACTAATATTGTGTAGATTATTCCATCGATTCTTGCACATTCAGCTATATAACTTGACTGGTACATAGGTACTGAAAATGAATAGCCTGTGATACACTGGTCAATGGAAAGATGACCTAAAGAGTAAAGACTTAAACTGTACAAGTGTTTACAGGTGGTTGTAAAGCATTTAGCCTCCGACCCATCATAACCCACACGTGTTAGATCCAGAGAAGGGGAAAGCCATGACGGAAGCATTATTATTATTATTATCATTAGTGTTCCTTTAGTTTGTATAATGTTCAAATTTTCATCGTTTCATATTTGGAAATAAATACAATGGAAATTTCATCAAAATTGATTAGAGTACACTGGGTTTTCAGATATGGCGGGCAGTCGCTATCTAGCAGGCGAAGTATTAGATCCACTTATTTCTAGTGCGGGTCTCTGGACCTTTTTTTCCATACCTACCACTGGATAATAATGGAAACTAACCGTGACTCAATTGAAAAGTTTAAAAATGTAAACATGTTTATAAATGCCGATATTAGCGTGGCGATTTCCAATCAAAAAAAGTCAAATTGGACCGTGTTCGATGTTTATAATCCGGCCTACAAAAATGGCGGGAAACTGGTGGTAAGCGAAATTGGTTTTTACAATGATGATGATGGTTACCGTGTGGGAGTGGAAGATAATAAATATTACAGAAGAAGAAATATGACTGGCGTTACATTTAAATCAGTATTAGCTGTATGTATTTGGGAAACTTAGGTGTTGTTCTCCTAAGTTCAGTTTGTAGATTCCGGAAGCTATAAATATAAGTGTGACCGAGTATATGGCGAGTGACGTAGGTAGGGAGAAGAACGTTTTTGGAAAGTTTCAAAGTGAAGTAATGGAAAACTGTCGAAACTTGTTCCGTTTTGAGTGAGTGAATATTAAAATGATGTTAAGTGACGCTACATTGGGCATATTGCAGTGTAAATATGTCGTCCACGCGGTCTTGGGGTTACCTACTCCCCAACGGAGAAGTTGATGGCCTGCCAAAGGTGCTACACGAAAAAAGGGCCGATTTTAGTCACTCAATAATAATATTTAAGCCGTACCGTTTAAAGGTTATGGATTACGGTCACGGAAGCTGGATAATGAGGTACCTATCCCAAACAATGCCATTCCACATCTACCACCTATTTTCTTTGTATAAAACAGGGTTCAATTCATCTTTAGACATCCGAGAAGTACCGCCAGTTCTTCTGAAATATACTTACAACCGTTAGAGACAAACGTTTGGATTGCAATTCTATTGGTTATAGTACTAATCATATTTATTTTACGTATTACATTAGTGCAAGAGCATAAAATATTACGCCAAAGATCAAGGCAAGGTATGCAAGATCGTTCTTGGACCATGTTGTTTATTTACTGTATAGGAGAACTCGGACAACAAGGTATCGTATAGAACTTTTAACGATTCCTAGTTTTATTTCAACCGCATCAGGGTTTGCCAACCTTCCTATCATTGCCAGTACGAGAATGGTAACCTTTACAGTTTTGATATTCTTCTTTATGGTGTACCAATTTTATTCGTGTAGTATTGTTTCCAATCTACTGTTGGAACCTCCACGTACAATCAAGACATTGGAAGATTTATTAAAGAGCAAGCTGGAGGTGGGCTGCGAAGACACTCAGTATGATAGAAATTATTTTGCTGTTAGTAGTAGTGGTCGTAAATATTTTGTGTTTTATCCTTTTTTTTAGACAACAACGAATCCGGTTGCCATTAGCCTGTACAACACAAAAATGAAAGGTTCGCACAACGCAACCAACTTTTTTTCCGCTCAAGTGGGAATGGACAAAGTTAAAGCAGGCGGATTTGCTTTCCATACAGTAACGACAACTGCTTACTCCGTTATCGAAACCCAGTTCCCAGAAGAGGCCATCTGCCAACTGGCGGAAATTCAAATGTATGCAATTGAAACACTGTACATGGCACTACCAAAAGGATCGCCACTAAAAGAGATGCTTAACTACTGGTGAGAACTTCACTCGCAAATTAATTTCTGATATTATTCTTGCAGCTCCGTTCACCAAAGTGAAGTCGGAATTATGTATCGTGTAAAAAGTTATTGGGATTCCCGTAAGCCCAATTGTAGGGATAGCACCCCTTACCTTAAAATTGAGGTAGGAATAGAAGAATCATATTGGGCTCTAACAGTGTTGGGAGTCGGATTAGTTTTTGGTTCCCTTGTTTTGGTAGCCGAGCACGGTTGGAAACGTTGGGGACATGGTATCAAAGAGAAATTGGTGAAACGGGCATTTAACAAATTCGAACTCTAATTTTTTCTTAGAGCTTAGAATGCACCATTAGTGACTATATAATATGTGTTTGCACAGCCGAATTTAAGCATCCGTGGCAGCGATTGCTGTGCCATTGGTTGTTGTTGCGCAATACAGAGCCATGGCGAAACCCTCTCATTTACAAGACCCACCTCGAATTGTGCTCTATTTATATAATCTAGTGAAAGAATGCACTCGAAGAACACATTTAGTAGTTTTAAAAACATTTTCAAAGAGCTTCGATTTTGAGCTGCTTCACAATATATTTTTTTTCAGCCACCTTAACTCATAGAAGGCTGGAGCTTTTTGTTTGGAAATACAACACAGTTTTATCTTAATTTTAATTAGATCTTAATCTAATTTTCAGGGAACCAGTATAATATACTTATGTTAATATTATCAACAGCTATTATAGTTTATACTTATTCGTGCCACAATTTCGTTTCATTATTACGTATCAGTTATTAAGTAAAATAAAAAATAATTCTTCATTTCTTTCTTCATTTTTTTACAAGCTCGTACTCGAAAAGCATTTATGTGATCGCAAAAGTGTAATAGGGTTTTCTATTCAATTAGTCTCAGTAAGCCCCCATTGTCCGTGAGCGCAAATTTCGTAACACTCTGTATAAGTAATACAGAAACAAAAACCATCAAGTCTCTTGAGTGTTGAATAATTAAAAAATGGCAAATGACATCGCTGTGTAGGTAGCTTTTTGAATCTCAATTTTTAGTGCTTATACAGAATGTCACATCTAAAACGACCCACTCGTAAAGGAAACTGATTGTGATATCTACATACTTTATCATCTTCCCTAAAGATGTGATCACTGAGGGGTGCCTATATACTGGTTGCAAAATAGTTGATGACATTCTTGCAGCACAGGATAAAATGCAGTTGACCGCCCTTACCCTTGATGGTATTGACCACATATTAATGACTTCCTATGTTTCTTAGGCTTTAGTAGTTGCTCTGTCACTTTAATAAATTGCTTTTTAACAAACAGGTATTACAGAGTAATTCTTCAGAATAATAATTAAGAGCTAGATCTATAGTTTGTGGAGTACTTCAGGGGTCCATTCTAGGTCCATTGTTGTTTAATTTATATACCTCAAATTTGCATACTTCGATTCAGAACTGTAACTCATTTTTTATGCAGTTGACAGTCAAATATACCACAGTTTTGACATTAATAATCTCAAGACTGCCGAAATCATAATTAACTCAGACTTAGAAAGCTTTGTAAACCATCATTATCTCACTATATGTAATTAGAAGTTTTTGATAATATCCTTTTCTCCGTTCTGCTTTAAATATACCCTCTAAGCACTCGTACAACAAATTTCATCACCATATAGAAATACAAGAAACTTGCAGGTAAGCTATGAGTATAAGGTTCAAATTAATTTCATGATTATTTTATTTCAATTATCGGTTTTTAAATGCAATAACTTCAAAGATATTTCAAATCGTAGTAAACGAAATTACTTGCATAGGATTTAGAATAATTTATTTACAAAATGCGCAGTAATAAATTTTTAATGTAATAATATTCTTCAAATCAAACTTATAAGTACTTATGCTTACAAATAAGGATCTTCTTATAAATAAATCATGTATAATAAATGGCGCCGTCTTTTATAAAGAAAATTGGAAGCAATCACTATTTTTGCTAATATACCTACGTATGTAAATAGCTACAATTTTTATATAAAGGCGGATTTAGTTAATGCTAAACCATTTAAGGTTCTATCGAACATGTTTACAATAATCTTCTTGTCTTGTTTGTTTTTGTTGCGTTTCACAGATGCTGAACCGAGTAGAAATTTGTTGCTTTCTTATTTTGAGCACAACTCTTGTGCATCGAGTGTTATTTTTAATTGTGATTCGAAACGAGGTAAGATACATATACGTAGTTGTTTTATTATTGTTATTTGTTAGTATACCTACCCTACGCATATAATGACATTGAAATTTCTAGATCGGGTTAATCTGATCAAATTCTTCAGCCTGAATAATCGTAGGGTCGCACTGTATGATGTTGCTGATCATAATCTGACTTTAAGTGGCGTATTCTTCCGAGACCAGAGCAATCTGGCTGTTGTTGTTAATGGCGATTGCGAAGAAACAGAAACATTTTTACAACATGTAAGTATCTAAACTTGAATTTCTTTGGAATTTCGGCACACCAAAAATTCGGTGATTTAAAAATGACCTAAACCGTTTTGTAAAAATCCTAAAATATTCTAGAAAACCGTTGAATAAACTTCGCCTATATTTTAAAAACTCTGCGAATAGGGCATGCTAGTATGGTTCCGCAAACAATTCTTCCATGAAAATGAAAAGAACTTCCTCTTTCTTTATTACCAACACTACATATTTTTCCTATTTTGTTTTGGAAACACATTAATTACCTACTAGCAGGCAAACTGTTAGTGCTGCACACATCATTCTCACAAAGATCGCCCAATAAGAGCCTAATTTGTCTATTTACAAACAAATGCCCGAAGGTATTGCTGCGAATACTCTAAAGCGACATCAATGCGCCATCAAGTCGCCAACAAGTCGATAAATTTAACGATTAACGAAGTGAAATGTTAGCTCCCTCTCCTCGCCCCTTGCTGCTCAGCTAACTACAATTAAAGGTATAATTACACACAACATTTTGCAGTGCGGAAAACTAGATCTGTTTTCCCATACGTACCACTGGTTAGTGTTGGGATCTCATCGTGACGTAATTGGAAAGTTTGAAAACGTAGATATGTTTATTAATGCAGACATCAGTGTGGCGATATCGGATGAAGGCAAGTCTAAACACACCATCTTCGACGTCTATAATCCTGCCTACAAGCGCGGAGGAAATCTGGTCGTAAGCGAAGTAGGTTGTTACACCGAAGAAGACGGTTACAAAGTACAGGTAAAGGATATCAAATATTACCGTAGGAGGAACATGACTGGAACCATGTTGAAATCAGTGATGGTGGTACATGGTAAAGCTGACGTGGCGAAGGCTCTGCTAATTTAAATTTTCAGGTACCGGGACGCATAAGCACAAGCCTTGCTGAGTACTTGACCAATGACGAGGACAGAAAAAATAACACCTTCAGTAGATTTCAAAACGTTGTTCTTCATAACTGCCAAGAGTTTTTTGATTACGAGTAAGTTGTTAGAGTACCTACTGTTGGTTTGTATCACCATATTCAGTGTTAACATGTCTCTAATGGCGTCTTGGGGTTACCTTCGCCCTGATGGAGATGTCGACGGTATGCTTAAAGAGATAAAAGAGAAAAGAATAGATTTTGGAAATGCCCCACTGCTCTTCAAACTTTACAGGTTAAAGATCATGGATTATGGTTTCGGGAGTTGGGTAATGAAGTACGAGACATAGTCGTTTAAAGATCGCATAAGTATTGCACTTTATCCGACAGATCGGCGTTCTTCTTCCAACATCCAAAGGATACAGCGACATCAGCGGAAATGTACTTACATCCACTGGATTCAAACGTTTGGTTTGGAATTTTGTTCATTATGGCCCTGATTATAGTAATTTTGCGAGTTAGCTTACTACATGAGTCCAATGTGTTAACTCAAACGGAAGAGGAAACCGCGTCGGATCGCTCTTGGACTGTTTTAATCATATACACTATAGGAGAGCTCGGACAACAAGGTATCTCCAAAGAATGCAATTTTACTTGATTTCACCTTAATGTATAATATAGGATTCACTAATCTTCCCATCATAGCTAGTACAAGGATTGTGACGCTTACGGTTTTGATATTCTTCTTCATGGTATATCAATTTTATTCGTGCAGTATCGTTTCGAATCTATTATTGGAACGGCCGCGTACGATCAATACCTTGGAAGACTTAGTCAACAGCAAGCTAGGAGCAGGTTGTGAAGATTCACTTTATGACAAAGATTACATCGCGGTTAGTAGGTATTTAAGTCAACCCGATCAACCAGTTTTCTCCTAATCTTCCAGACGACAACAGATCCGGTTGCACTGCGACTATATGATACAAAAATTAAAGGTCCCCACAACACCACAAGATTTTTACCGGCCCACGCAGGTATGGACAAAGTTAAAGCTGGCGGGTTCGCTTTTCATACCCAAACATCAACTGCTTATCCGATTATCGGGGCCGAATTTCCCGAAGAAGCCATTTGTCAGTTGGCGGAAGTGAAAATGTACGCTACGCAAACAATGTACATACCCCTTCCTAAAAGATCACCATTAAAGGAAATGTTTAACTATTGGTGAGTAGGTAATACTTCTCGCTGTATCAATGTGGTTTATTTTTAGTTTGGCACATCAAACGGAGGTTGGAGTTATGGAGCGCTTGAGAAACCACTGGGCGGCTCGTAAACCACAATGCAGAGATAAAACTCCATACCGTAAAATAGAAGTTGGGCTCGACGAATCGTATTGGGCTTTACTTGTGCTAGGCGCAGGAGTTTTTTTTGGTTTGCTTATTTTATCGGGAGAGTATTGTTTGAAAAAGTGGGGGTGTCGCTTCCAAAAGAACATGGGAACACATTAGACATAGTTACTATATACGCCAACCCCTTCAAACGTGGGCTATAGATATGTTCCAAAATGTAACGCAGGAAGCTGCAATAAAACATTATAGTCAGCAGGTATTAATTGTATGTTGTACGTTTGTGTTGAGCCACCTATTCTGTAAGTCTCCCTCAACGATATTGAAGCTCCTCCACGGTCGAGACCCGTGGTGGAAGGAGGGGTTCGCCTTACCTCACCAGGGTACCTCCCTCCTCCCTGAGTGCGAGCAACAAATACTCACAAATAATATGGAACCGGGTTTCGTGATTTCGAAACCTACTGGGTAGGCTATGAAACATTGGTGATTTCCGAGGTGATTTCGATGTTACTCAACAGCCCTTCGGTAACTCAACCTTAAAAAGGCGAAACCTTCCGAAGCATCACGCCATTTCATTGAGTTTCAATTTAAAATTAGTTGCACCTAGAACGCGACCAGCGCAAATTTAAGTATACAGCGCGAGGGTTGAAAATGTAAGTATATTGCGCAACCTTTTCGAGTTACGGCTTGCTCTTTATGAGAAAACGAGAAAAGGGAGTACCTAGAGAACTAAATTCGTTGACAAATCTCGATGCGCTCACATGATTCTTTCGCTCACGAATCCTGAATCTGTTCGAGATCCTATGGATTTAATGGGAAGAAGTTTGGAATGTTCTGAAAAGCACTAATTATCCACTGGATGTTTCCTAAGCCTTTTAGAATTCTTACGTGTTTTTCAGGAATTCTTTAAAGAAGTTTTGACACAAGCCCAAAAAGCTCAGTTAAGTCAACGAGAAGGTCTAAAAGGACATATAAGCCCCGAGGAGAACACTAGAATATACTATACAAAACCAAAAATGCTCTGAAATGCGCATTTATATTAGCGCCTCCAGAATTAATTATTAAGGATCCTCAGATCCTTTAAAGTTTTTGTATTGTTGTCCGTGGGTCCGTCCGTATGTGCTATAACTCTTTTGAAAAGTCGCCAATCATGTCAAATTTGGACATTAAAGTATTGATTTTCAGGAAGCTGACCGAACAGGAACAAAAGTTATAGGACTTCGAGTGAATCGGGAACAGGAAAAAGTGTTCGGACTTTCGTTAGATTATTCCCTATGACTCTTGGATGTGTAACAATTCAATCTAACCCTTCTGTGTGGTCTAGGTCAACAGTTTTAAGGCAAATTATACCCAAAATTATTCGTTACACACAGGTATAACGCATACACATAATATCTTGACGCTGAAAGAGCGATTACATCACATGCACATTTTGATAAGTGTGTGTGTTTGATTCAAAGATGTCAGAAGGCCACATGTATTTTGTTCAAAACATGCCAAAATTGTTATTGATACACCAAGATCGTTGAGAATAACACCTTTGGTCGATGTTTTAAATATAAGCGGCTGATGAATTCTATAACGAAATCCATACAAGTGGATCACTTCAAAAATGCGTACCAATCTCTATTTCAATGATAGCTAGTACGTCAAATACCATGATCCCTTGACGAAATATTGCTTCATCAATAGGAATACGATAACACATAAGGAACTAAAACACAGTAGGACCGCCTCGCCCCGGAGGAATATTGAAGACTGCCAAAGCAGAATTCGAATTCAGCCTAAAAGTTGTCTACCTTCCAGTAGTCTATTTGCAAATCCACTACACCTAGTCCCGAAGAAAACAACCGATGTGGGGATTACAGAAGGCTCAATGCAGTTGGCACACCCGCCAGTACCCGATAGCCCACATACAAGATTTTTCCTATAAAGTAGTCGGTAAGGAAGTGTTCAGTAAGATTGACTTGGTGTCTTGAGCAGAAAAGGACCTGCCAACCATAGATGATATTCTCGTCACTTTTCTAAAGAGAATGAACAACATCGGCAGCATCTGACTCAGGTTTTCACAAGATTGAAGGAGTTCCAGAAATTGAGTATTTGGGGCCTGATCGAATAAATGCCATCAAATGTTACACGAAACCTGCAACGGTCGTCAAGTTAAGACGACTTTTAGGTGTCGTTAACTTTTATAGATGAATCACAGCGGAAAGTCAAGCCATTCTCAACGCGTACCTTCAAGACTCGAGGAAAAATGTCAAAACCCCAATACAATGGACACCAGAGGCAGATGCAGTTTTCCTAACGTGCAAACCTGACTTGCAAACGCAGTCTTACGACTGACTACCGACGCTTTAAATGTAGCAATTGGATCTGCGTTAGAGCAAAGAACCAGGGATTCGTGAGAACCCATAGAATTTGTCTCCAAAAAGTTGAGTCGTAGGTACACAGCAAAACTACAGCTATTGTCTTTTACGTATCGCTGAAATTCTTCCGCGCTGCAACAAAAAAGCTAACCACAGGTTTCACAGTTCTTTCAATAAGTGGTGAAATAAATTAAAGTCAGAAAAAGAGGAGAGGTGCAGTTTTACATTATTATTCAACTAATATGAATTGAAAGAATACTGTGATGACTTTTCCACCCCGACTTATTTTATAGGTGACGGGGCGATCAAAAATGAGTTACCGTCGACTCGCCTTTGGAAGTTTAGGATTTTCCATGTAAACAGAAATTCCAAAGGTGACTCGACAGCAACTCATTTTTGATCGCATAGGATTATTTACGTTGCTTGAAGTATAATACAGTAAAATTTAAATTGTTTTTAATCAATTGAAATTGCAAAATAGAGGTTGTACAATTTTGAACTTGCTGTTGCATTAATTAGCTTCCTAGTGATCGCAATGATCACCGTTTTTTGGATATGTTAAAATTTCATCAAATGTGGACGTTTTAAATCATTTTAATATGTGCGTACGTTGGCAATTTTCCAAGGTAACGGCCCGACGGATTTTGTTCAAATTTTGGTTCTGTATATTAGGCATACTGAAACGAAACTAACGAACCAGATTTTGGAAAAAAAATTTTTGGTACGCCGGCGCCGCAATGGCATCTAACTTTTTTTTCAAATAGCAACCTAAAATTTTTATTAAGTTATTCGAAAGACTCTTATTTTTCTGTGTATAACCTACAATAATTGTGCAGGTTTTATTACAAAAAAACTGAGAAAAAAATGTCAAATTTAAAAAACTTAAAAAAATACAACTTTCTTTTCAAATAAAAAGAGAATGTTTTTATTAAATTATTCGAAAGACTTTCTTTTTTCTGTATAACGCAATGATGCTACGTTTTATTATAAAAAAGTGGAGAAAAAAATTTCAAAGTTAAAAAACTATCTAGCAGCTTGATACGCGTTTATTATTTAGGATGATCGATTGCAGAAGTTCAGTCGTTGCATTCTTTTTGGTTTTAATGCAAAGAACTTAAGATAAATAATAATAATAATAATAATATATATTTGCCCAACAGTACAACCAATTATAGAGCAAAATAATCAAACATACAGAAAAATCCTATTTTATCATTAAGCATTAAACATAAGTCGTGTAGACAAAAAAAAAGTTAGAAATGATGATAAAGTTACTTATTTAAACACATCAGAAATCATTTGGAGTGAGTTGTAATTAATATCAACAATAGAGGATCTACTATTCAAAAACGAGCATATAGCATTCATAGGTAAATGAAGAGCCAAATTTGACTTTACTGCTCTGCAATAAAAAATAACATTCTGCCGTGTATTTGCTCGTGGTACATTAAAATTCAAGGCAGACAATAAAAAAGGTGAATCGATGTCGTTATGAATAAGTTTATAAATAAATTTTATACCCAACAGATTTCTTCTACTTATCAGAGCTCGTTCGTCCATTATATTTAGGAGGTCACCGTGATTTATGTTACGCTCAGGGTATTGTGCATACTTTAAGTAATAAATGAACTTTAAGAAACGTCTTTGAATTTTCTCTAAATTATTCACTAAATATTGATGCCGGGGGTTCCAAATTATTGCAGCATACTCCAGCTTAGCACGGATGAATGAGTAATACAGCATCTTTACCGCACCTGTATTCTTAAAATTACGACACTGGTGAAATATAAATCCTAGCATCTTCAATGCACTCGAGCACACAGAATCAACATGATATGAAAAAGATAATTTACTGTCTAACAGTACCCTAGGTCCTTAAATGAATCGCTTCTATGCAGTGTTGCATTGTCCACAAAGTAACAGTAATGTACAGGCAGTTTTTTACGCGTGTAGGAAACTATACGACATTTTGATGTATTTAAAGTCAACTTATTCACCTCACACCAGTCTTTTATAATGTTTAATTGATGTTGCAAAAAATCACCATCCAGAATATTATTGATCACATGGCATATTTTGATATCATCAGCATAAGCTAATACACCACTGTCAAGTTTAATAATAAGATCGTTGGTGTATATATTAAAAAGTAGGGGTCCAAGATTGGACCCTTGAGGCACACCAGATGTGGGAACAATAGAATTGGAGTTGTATCCATTATAGATCACGCATTGAGTTCTATTGGTAAGATAAGATGTGAAAAATGTAACCAAATCGGAACTAAAACTTATCAATACATAAGTATGTTAAAATATCAGTGTACGCGTAGGTATATAGTTTATATAATGATTAATTAATATCACAGATTTAAGTACTAAAATCTGTGTTAATATTAATACTATGTAAAGAAAATTGACCCATCAGTAACATCTGCACCAGACCGCCGACAAAAAAAGGTCATTGACAACTTCATAAGGTTGTCGCACCCTCTACTTAAGGGATAAGTTGTAAAATGTCATTCTTATTCTTACGTGCCGATTGAATTGAATAAGGAGCTTTGTGTTTACTGACTAGAACAAACGGCCATCCAAATAGGACGTGTACTAAATTGAGTGCCTCGCCTGTTTTTAAACATACGATGTGACCTGCACTAAACGAGGTGTCCAGAAAACGCACTTTATAGAATTGATGTGATGACACGGTTTTTTATTCTTCGCATTTTTATACCAGAAAGTAGCAGTTTCCAAGTAGATAATTAACATCTTTTTAAAAAAATCTCTAATTCCCGAATGTAGTCCTAGCAAAATGTCCTAATTGTTACGAAATAT